AAAATTGTTTTATAAATGTACAGGGTGGTCCAGAGCCACAGTTAAAACTCTCGGGGGTGATTTCACGAAATTTTTTAGAAAACAATTTTATTACAGAAAAATATAAATAAACAATAAACAAGTTATAAACGATGATGTAGCGAGTGCAAAGGGAGGTAAAAAAAATATATAGTGCACTTTATTGAGATAATTAACGTTTTCAAAAAAATATTTTGTTTTCTAATTTTATGTTTAAGTATCTACTACTTTCAACGGTCAGTCTGATAACAACCACTGATATTATAACTGTGCACCTTTTCTGATATTATAACCTTGTTTAACCTTTTCATACCTGATAAATATCAATTTTTTTCAATCTGATTTTCTATAACTCGCCCTTAAACAATTTTTCAGGACAACTCCTTAAGAATTTTTCAATTTTTGAAATATTCAATTCCTAAAGACTTGTTGCGGACCACCCTGTATATATAAATATGTATGTTATGTATGTAAATAAATATGTAGTAGATAAATACTTAAATTTTATTATGTGTATACAAAATAGTTATTATATTAGTGAAATCAATTGCAAATTATTAATAGTTTAAGAAAAAAAAAAGATTCAGTAGTAATTTAGCATTGTAATAACGAGGAACATTTTACTTGGTTTTTAAAATAAGAAAAAATTTACAGTTATAATTTGAAGTATTTAAAAGTATATAACCAGGTAATGTAGTAACTATTGGGTGCGAAAAATTTGTATATATAAATATATTACAAAAATTTGAGTTTATGTTAGTTAAAATCCTAAGAACTATAACGTGTTTGCAAACAGATTTATTTGGTATTTAATAACAAAAAATTAGTTACGGAAAAATTAAATTATTGTATAGAAAAAAAAACGATATTTTGAACTCAATTAATTGAAAATTGTTTTAATATTATTCTTTAAAAAAGATCGGACAGCAGATCAATAATGATTTTAAAATTTTTAATAATTTTAAATGATAAAATTAATTAAATTTATTATAGTGATAAAGTAAATATTACAATTCAAAGGTATAACATTTCTACCGGTAGTTTCTATGTGTAATTATGTATAATGAAAACTAGTGTCGAAAACTTAATTCATATGCAGATATGTAAGTCATTTTTCTCACTCTCAAAAATTACTTCATTTGCAAGAGAATAACTTCTTTTTATCTCTTCTTAGAAATGAAACAGAAACACTAGTTATCCCTATAGGGGATATCTTTTCGAAATATATACTCGTAACTATTTTTGGAATAAAATAAACAATAAATTAAAATAATGACTAGATCAATAAATTGCCTAAATTCTTGGCTCAACCATGTTCTTTTCTATATTCATATTCAATTCTATATTCTATATTCATTATAGAATATAGATTTATAGATTACTGCAGGTAGTCAACAGAGAAAATTTATATACTTTTCAATTTTATAAAATCTTATTTTTATTAAATAACTATTGATTTTTAAATACTTAAACATACATATGTATATGAAATACAACCTATAACAGTTAACATTGCACAATATTTTATATTTTAAATCATTAAATTGATAATTTTGCATTAAAAAACAAATTGTATTAAATTTGTTTATCAATTTTAATTATGGTTTTAAAACAACAAGATTTATTAATAATAAACCTTGTATACTTAATATAAAATTTAAAAAAGTCATCAATTATAATTTAAATTGAAATAGCTATCATTTATAGCAGTGTTATAAAACCTGAATGGCCTAATTTTCGTTAATTTTGAATCTAACACAATTCTAAATGAGGTAAGATTCTAATAAAAAAATTACGAAAGATGGAAAGGTGATACCAGATAATGGTCTCTTTGTTTGTAGACGTCATAACCTATATAATAAGGCAAGCAGTTTTAGCTTTAGCACTTTTGAACGAAAGCACTTTTGAAATAAAATGCGATTCCGGAAATATAATGGTTTTGTTTAGAAAAATTTCACTTTTGAATTAATGGTTCTTTTTTTCTTAAAAGCATCCCCTCGTGATTTAGGTAATATACACGTACATCTTTTACATTTTTAATTTTATTTCATGTAATGAAAACTTAAAATTTTTTTGACTTTGTAATTTAAATTTTTGTAGCTTATATTAATTAATTTAGGTTAGAGAGTTTTATACTTAAATTAATCTATAGTATTAATATTACAATTATTATTTCTTGTGTGTAAAGATTTAATAATGTTTAATAATATTATAATTTTAAGATTTTTACAATTTCTGTAAGCAGCACTATTTTTCTAACAATTTGCAAATTAATTTAAACAAATGAATTTTTTCGCATTATATTATTTATTTATTAACATATATACTTGCATTCTAGAAAGTTTCTGTGTGCAAAACTAGACTTTTTGCCGTCTATATTGATTGAAAAATTAAAAAAAATAAAGGGATACATAGATTTACTAAAATTTTATTAAAACTAAGTAAATATATTGAATTACCTGTATACAATAAAAAAAAGTTCTCTGATAAGATATTGATTGAATCAGTAATAGTATATTATATACATCACCGTTACTAGGTTAGTATCGTTATCAAACGTCTTTTATTCAATGATAAAAAAAAATTTCTACCTTCGTAATCATTCATCAATAACATATTATTATTATTAGACAATACGACAGTGACTTAGCAATCAAAAGTAAGCGAATTCAATCAATGAACTGCTTTAATACTCCTATAATATACATGTTGTAATAGACTTAAATCTTATCAACGCAAGTAAATGTGTTTTAAATTTAAGATAAAATTATCATTTAAATCTGAAAAGAATTGGAAACATTGAAAATATCAATGCATATACATATACGTATAGACTTCCATATCGATCTGATAAAATGATGAGTATGTCATATTATTTATTTGATACATAAATTTCAAGTAGTTTAACAAGACTTTAGAGTGTCCATATATAGATAAATAATTATAATGCTCGTATAAGTTTTCTCATTAATACTCGCGTACTTCAAAATTTTAATAGCGATTGAAATTTTAATCACTGATTTTTAACCAACGAATGTAATAACTTATTTTTAGAAAAAAAACATTAAACTACGACACCTTGTAAATGATAAAATATGAAATTTATAAATTAACGATAACACATCAAAGGATTCCATTTTATAAATGTAAAAATATTTTAGCTCTTTTCGTTGACAGTGCGATACCAATGTGTGTGTGTGTGTCTGAGAGAAAAAATGTAACATATAAAATTTTTTCTTTTGTTAGACATTTCGGCAAAATGCATAACTGCGACTATTAAACATACTGAAAAAATATTATTTAGCAAATCGTGCAGTAGTTATTAATCAAACAAACTGTACTATCATAACTGCAGTATCAAAACAAAAAATTTCAATAACACTTAATTTTTAATAAGAATCTCTTTGGATCTTTATAAGGAAATTTATTATACGTACTTGAAAATCAACAACATATAGACTGCATACACATTTTCAAAATATTTTGTTATACCGACATCTCTATATACAAAATATGAACTGTATTTGCTTTTGGTAGCACATTATTTATCTTATCGCAATTTATTTACACAAGTTTTAACCTATTTCAGGATTTATTACATTACTTTATTACTTGTGTATCTTATTTTTGTTTTTAATCTTACTTAATGCATACAGTTACATTATAATGAACTAATATAATGTAAATTAGTTTTCCACATGTTTTAACTAATATTATAATTTCATTTATTTTTAAATTTTATCAAAAAATACGAATAAATAAAGCCGTGGTGCTGTTTTAGTTAAAATCATTACACTTTTTATTGCAATATCACAATTGGAACCAACTTCATTATTATTATAATTTAATAAAATATTTATGGCAAATCAATTCGTCAACAATTTGAAGTAATAGAAAATTTACTTTTATTAAAAATAATTCGTAGAGATATAGAATCTAAACACATAAGCAATTTATATAAAATACATATTATATCCGTCAGCAAGACGGATATTCCTGTATTATAGCATATAGATTTGCTTATTAGCACTTTTCCAAAAAAATTTTGAAAAAAATGCTTGTTAGTTTCACTTTGTCCGTCCCGTAGAACAAAATTTTCACATATCTCATCCCCTCTAAAAGTTATACCCACCTAAAACCCTAAAAACGGCACTTTAAACTATTTATTGCAATAAAGCCATTAACATTTTTCAAATTTTGCAAAAAAAAAAATAGTACTCGTAGCTGGCTTCTTCTATCGCGGGATACCATTTCTGGACTTTAAAAAAACAAAATGGCGATTAAAATTTACCGTAATCTAAAATCCGTTTTTTCCAAATTTTTGATGCCGTTTTTCTTCTACACCGTCCGTTACAGAAGTCTAAAATTTTAGCAGGTCTTAGATATATATAAATAGTTTAGATAATATAGAAGAAAATTTTTTCCTATCTCCACCCCCTATCAAGTTATCACCTCTCGAAATTTGTAAAATTTGAATATTTGGCACCTTATATTTGCGAAACCAAAAGCTTTTTCAAATTTCTTTAAACGCAAAAAGCTAACGGTAAATTCTGTGTCATTAAAAAATATTTACAAATTTCAACGGGCGATAACTTTGAGAGAGAGTGGAGATGGAAAAAAAAAATTCTTCTAACGAAATGAACTATTTCTTAATGTCTAAAAGCCCCTACCCGATTTGCTTTTATTTTACGTACCCACTACGTATAGAACGCATTTAGGAAAAGTGTACAATGTCAAGAGCTTTTACTAAATTTTTTGGAATGTGATACTTTGTAAATTTTAAGTTGCAAGCGCATTTTTGAAGTCACGGATTGCAGCATTATAGTGAAATTAAAACTAACCTAATAAAAAAGCACAATATAAAAATAATTTCTTAGTTTCTACATTATCGAAATAATGTCTTGATTTTATATACTATGCAAATAATTTAAAATAATTTTGCTCTATTAATTAATTCCAGTTTTTTTTTTATATATTTTCAGATAACCTCAAACAACTTATTGTTAGTGATTGCTTTTAATATTTCTTTTCTCTAATTAAAAATTAATTGTTAACTTAAAAATATAAATGAAAAAAAAATAATACAAAATGAAAACTGAAAATAAAAACACTTCGGGTAGTGAGATTATGAAAACAACAAATTTAAATAATTATCAACAAAAAACATTTAAAAATATTAATAATAGTCTAGCATATAGTAATTCAAACAACACTATTATAAATTATAATATAAATGAACATAATTTAAATAATAATAATAATTGCAATTCGAATAATAATAATTATAATTATACAAAAAATTTTAATAATGACGATAATACCAACGATAATTATAGTGCAAAAATAACAAATAATCAATATAAAGAATATTTTAATAATAATGATGTTAATCATAAACCTATAAACAACATAACAAACAATTCATTTTATGATCATAACAATTGCAATACAAACAATAATAATATATGCAATAATAATAGCAACAACAATAATAACAATAATAATAATAATATTAACAGCTATAATAATCGTAACAATATTCATAATGATTATTTAATTAATCATAATAAAATACTAAATTATCAACAGCAGCAACAACAAACACAAACTACACAAATATCAAATCATCTTAGTAATCTTAATCATAATCATAATCATTTAAATGATATTGATAATGATAATCAAGATCAACCAAATGATGAAATATCAAATGAAAATGAATTATTTTATTATAAAACAAAAAATTTAACAAAAATAAATCGTAGTTCAACTGTTTCAATATTATCAGCTCCAGTACCATTAATATCGGGTGCTGGTGCAGCTGCTGCTGGTGTTATATTACCACAAAATGAAATATCATCTGTAACAACAGCATTAGAAACAATTGATGACACAGAAGCAATTAAATGTATATTTTTGTGTGAATTTCATGTAACTGCCGGTCGAAAAATTACAGTACAAGTACCTGAAAATTATTTAAGTAAAGAAAAATTCGAGACTGTTAGTCGTTATGTAATACCACATGTTGAATTACAAAGAAGTTTTTTATGTTTGTAAGTATTTAAATTTTAAATAGAAAACTCTATAGTCTATCTGTATACCATGGATAATTTTAAAGTTTCCAAACAATTTTTTTTATTTATTTCCAGATCTTTATTAGGTTTTAAAATACTAGGTTATCCAGTTCGTATAGACAATAAACAATATGCTCGAAATGCTTTTTATTTTAATTTATGTTTTGTATTTGCACCAACAACTAGGACTATTGGTTATGAACCAGTTGTTAAAAAATTATCTGAATATCTGGTAAATAATAAAAAATTTCATATTAAATTTTAAATAATAAAGTTACCAAACATTTATTTTAAAGTTATCAATGGAAAAATCGAGCCGGCTTTTGTCCCAGCAAAGCTATGCTTCGGTTGAAATTGGTAGATTAGCAAGAATATTGACACAAGTACGAAATGACATTAATTCAAAAAAAGTTTGTATGTTACAAGGTAATTTTGATTTAAATTTGATGCCGTAGAAAAATATACATACAATAAATTAGAAAATAATTAAAACAATTTTTTATTTCTTTTAATCCAATAGAGGGCAGCACTCTAATTCCAATGTGTGTTGTACCAAGATATTTAGAGACTGTAATCATAAGTCCACATCATGCGGCAGCACTAACAGACGATTTTTATAAGTACGTAAAAGATCAATGGGATCTTACAACATTACGGGTAAGGTCACAATTTTAATACAATATAAGCCCATACACATACATATATTTTCAATATTTTAATTCTGTCCAAGATAGGAAATTCATTATAATACATTATAATGCATTATAATGAAACCTATTCAAGGTAGAAATGTGGCCGCATAAAATTAAGAGAAACATATAAGACATTAGTAAATTTTTTGCTGGAGAAAAATGTACCATTTGAAAAATTTACAGGAGAATTTTATCTTGCACCTTTAATAAACCACAGACCTTTAATTAACAGACCTTTAATAAACTATCTTAATATTGATGGCTTACACTGATAGCTTTTACGAAAAAAAATTACTAATTAAAATAATGAACTTTATAGTTTTTATTCTTTTTTATTTACAGATTCTGCCACATATTGATGGATTTAATCATGTTAACCGAATAACAGCTTTAGCTGATGTTGCTCTAGAATTAGTCTGTGATTGTTTAAAGCATTTAGTTCTCTTAGGCGTCGCTGTACTTGTTCCAGTCTTTCAATACAGTAATGTCTATAGACCCACACCAAAATTATCTCAATTAGCAAAAGATCGAGAATTACAACAAAGATGTGTACAAAGATGTTCAAAAACAGGTATAGTTAATGAAAAAAAAACTTCTATTTCCAATAAAATGCTTTCTCAAAGTGAATAAAAAGAAAATTATTTCTCACTATTTAAATACTTACAGAAAGAAAAAAAGCAAAAATTCGAGATATTTTCCGATTTTTTGCCTCAATGGCACACGGTGCAACTTTCGGAGAACTTTGTGTAAGATTTAACCCTCAAGCTCTAAATATTAGTGAAAAACAAATGGTACTTTTTGGTCAACTTGAAGGATTAATAAGACGTGTTGAAAAGGTACTGACGAAAATATTTTATTATGAAAACAAAATTTCTGCCTAAAATATTTTTGATTAACTACAAAAATAACACAATTTTTTTTTTAACAATTCTAATAATTTTTTAAAAAACATTATTAGTACCCCGTTACTGTGGAGCGTGATTTATATGCTGAAGATGTTGACAACATTACAAAACGTAAATTGGGTTTGGTTTCTGGACAAATACCCAACACCCCAGTATTTGAACAACAACAATCTCAAATATCCAACAACTCCGATTATCATAATTCTGATATATCAAACAATTCGTTTCATCCTATAAATTCAATGAATGATTCACCAACTTCGAATCGTTTTTTAGCATTAGAAGCAGGTGATGATGTTTATACCATTAACAATGCAAGAAAGTACCGACGTTTACCAAGTAAACCAATACCTCGTAGTGGTAGAGCAGCCGCATCTCCACCCAATAACAACATTATATGTAATAATCCAACATGTCCAAAGCATTGCAATAGAAATTCAAATAAAAATGAAATAAATGTTAATAAAACAGAAGGAAAACAACAAACTTTATACAATGGATTACAGAGCTTTGATGAAATTTGTTCAGCAACTGGTTTAAGTTGTCAGCAATTAGATTACCATTTAGCACGTGATAAACATGTTATTGTTTTATTAAAATAATTATTTAATAAATGTTGATAATTTTTATTGAAAATTATTTTTTTTTCAAGAAATGACGCAGTGAAAAGAATTAGTTGTGAACTTATGTGTACATTATATTGAAAAACAAAAAACAATATTATAAATTTTGAAAAATAACATTCAGACGTTCGTTCACCATCGAACTACCTAATATATAATTCTGTAGTTAATTTTGATGTAAATACAGAAATTCAACTTATTACTTTTTATGAAAATTTTAAAATACAGAGTTCTGCGATTAAGGTTGCGTTTAATTCCAGGGATTATTCTTTGATCGATTTCCAGCAGAAAATTGTGTAGGTGGGGGATTTTTACGAAAAAAAAATTCTTATACTGACGAGCTCTATCTCGAAAACTATGGCTCCATTAAAACTGATTGTAAGACTGAAAATAAACAGTAATCAATCACTTGTGAAACCAGCCTATGTTTACTCTATGTTGCATGATCCGGAATTTATTTATCTGCAAGGAAAATCTGGTACCTTTTTTTTCAACAGACTGCAATTGTCACGTCTATGCACCCTCTACACCGTACATAAAATTTGATTATTTTATATAAATAATTAATTTATATTAAATTTCATTAATATTTTCTTAAATATAAATAAAATTTTTTTCTTTTCATACATTTTTCATACATAATTCATACATATACAAATTGCACATACACATTCACATTCTTTGCACATTTATAATATTTTTCGTAATAAGAACATTACAAGTCTTTACTTTAGCAAAACGAAATTATAGCACCATAAAAAGTATTAATCGAGTTTACACTAAAGAAAAATAATTAAGAAAGTATTACCTTCAAATTTATAGGATGGCTATGCAAACACATTTATTAATATCTTGCATTTGAAACAAGTCTTGTCTTATTCTTATTACGATAATATCAGCAACATAGAAATAAGTATGTACATACATATTTTATATATGTATATATTTCCCAAAGAATATAGTAGCGAGGAATTTTATCCCACAACATACCTTCTATATAACTCTTTAGGAGTCAACGAGTTCAAATTAATTAAATTTTATTTTATATTTTCGCTTTCTGCTCGTACACCATGTTATTTTTTTTAACTTTTTTTATTTCATTATGTGTTATTTACAATATATGTATTACAATCACTTCATCGTCTTATGTAGGCATTACAGAAACTTAAATCTGGCAAAATAAAATACATATTAATTTCGTTCTTATAAAATACTTACATAAGTATAGTATTTATTAAATTAAGTTATTATTGTATACACTAGAACCAGTAACAGGTATTCTTTGGGATGATTTTATGGAACAGTTTCTGCATATACGAATGTTATTCCTGTGCCTAGCATTAAACTTATGTGAATAACACATAATGAATTCGAAGAAATTTTAGAATAACCAATATTATTGAGTATCTTGTATACTGCTTAAATTACTCGGTACTGATATATACTTCTTATAGGCAGAATTTTGTTTTCGAAAAAGAGCCTAAAAGTACCATACAGTCCTGCCTAAAATATTTGTGGCAATTGAGAGATATGTTGTGTCTTTGATAAATATGAGAAACAATAATGCTCCCAAAGTAGATCCTTAAGGAACCTAAACATCAATACATTTTGTAGAGCTCAGTTCATTTTTGAAATTTACAAATTGCTTTCAATTTTTTTAAGTAAGTATTCATTATATTAAGTGCAATAGCACAAGAATTAAATCCAACAAAAGAAAGTTTAGATAACAGCAGATCATGATTAATAGTATCAAAAGCTTTTTGTAAATCTATAAAAAACACAATTATAATATTAAAATTTGTCAGTCACAAATCGTGTCTAAAACAGAAAAAAATCTACTACAAAACAAAATTAAAAAAATTAAACGAACTCTAAATAAAATAAAAAATGGATCAATAGCCACATACCTCCAAGGTCTGATAGCTGAAAAAGAATCGGATTATTCCCTATGGAAATCAATGAAAAATCTTAAAAGACCGATAAATCAAGAAGCACCAATAAAAAGAGCAGACAACACCTAGGCAAAAACAGAGAAACAAAAGGCTGACCTGTTAGCGCAGCACTTAAAAAACGTTTTCACACCACTAGAAAAACAATCAAACAATGAAAACATTACTTTTATACCACATGATGACTATGTGGATATTCCCTACTGCACAATAGATGAGCTGCAAACCATAATTAGAAACTCCATCTCAAATAAAAAATCACCAAGTTATGATCTTATTACTGGAAGAATAATCCATGAATTACCACCAGTAGCAATTAAAAGGCTGAAAAACATCATAAATGCCTGCTTCAAATTAAAATATGTATGTACCAAAATTGTGGAAGATTGCAGAAGTAATTTTGATATTAAAACCTGGAAAAAATTCTAGTGAAGCAACGTCATATCGTCCAATTTCACTTTTGCCAACACTGTCAAAAGTTTTTGAAAAAACTCTTCATAAAAGACAATTAAAAATGTAACATTATACAAGAACGTAACTTGATCCCATCACATCAATTTGGATTCAGAAATAATCATTCTACGATTCAGCATGTACACCGCTTAAAAGATATTATAGAAAAATCGCTTGAAGAAAAACAAGTTTGCACCGCTGTCTTCCTGGATATAGCGCAAGCATTTGATAAGGTTTGGCTGGAAGGATTAAAATACAAACTCCATAGGGACCTACCGATGCAACAATATCAAATACTAAGTTCATGTCTAACAGATAGAAAAGGATGCGCTATGGATGTGAATATTCCGAACTGGTTAACATAGCAGCAGGAGTACCCAAGGAAGCGTGCTTGGGCCTACACTGTACCTTATTTATACAAGGGATATCCCTGAAGATAACAGTGTATTAACGGCAACATTTGCTGACGACACCGCCCTCCTTTCCAGAAACGCAGATCCAAATGTTGCAGCCTGTAATCTACAAAAATCAATAAATAAAGTTGAAAATTGGGCGAGGAAGTGGCGGATAAAGCTGAATGAGGCTTAAACTACACTTGTTAATTTCACGAATAGAAAAGTAATCCAATTACCTATTCGGGTTAATGATGCAATAGTACCTTACTCAAATAGTGCCAAATACTTGGGAATGACTCTGAACGCCAAATTGAGGTGGAAGGAACATATAAAAATTAAAAAAGATGAACTTAACATAAAGTACAGAAAATTGCATTGGCTTTTAGGCAAGAACTCAGAATTGTCAATCAACAATAAAACTTTAATATACAAGCAAGTTCTAAAACCTGTGTGGCTATACGGCATACAAATTTGGGGGTGTGCAAAAAAGACTAACACTAACATTATACAAAGATTCCAGAACAAGGTGCTTCGAAACATTGTCAATGCACCTTGGTATGTTAGAAATTATGACATACATAAAGATTTAAGAATTGAATTGGTCGAACACGAAATAACCAAATCCAAACATAAAAATAGGATATCCTCCCACAACAACATGGAAATCCAGAGATTAATTAACAATAATAGCAGTGACTTACGACGCTTGAAAAGGACGAAACCCCTGGATCTGGCTGATCAAAACTTAGATTAAGAGGATTCAAGGAATCAGAGATTAATAAATCCTTAGTCAATTTGTAACATGAGTTGGTCGGGAAAATAAATAAAGATTAAAAAAAAAAAAAAAAAAAATCGTGCCAAAGACATCAATTAGATCGTTTTGTGTTCCTATACCTACTCGAAAACCGTACTGATATGAAAAAAAGAACGGGTTCGCAAGTAAATCTGATTTAATTTTTCTATACTTTACTTTTGCATATGCAGAAGGGATAATAATTAGCCTGCAATTGTTGTTTTAGAAATATCTCCACTCTTAAAAATTGGTAGTTTTTTGAAGCTTTAAAGAATTACGATATTCGCCATCATCGATAATTTTCAGTAAGAAGAGAATGATTGAGCTGGTATATTGTCCCAACCAACAGAACTTTTATTTTTCAAATTAGTTATAGTATCTAGTACTTCTGATTCACCAACATTTTAATTAATTGTTTTAGATTTTATGGATCAGAAAAAAACCATGTACATATATGCATGATTTTTGATCAGTATTAATGTGTACGGTAAGTTCTTCACTAAAGTTTAATTTAAGTTAAATATAGATAGTGAATGTGATAAAGTGATTTCAAAATGCAGTTTTTTATCATTAGTTTATTTTTGTTTAACTTTCACTTCACAATTTTTAATTTTGTCGTCACTTTTAGCCAGTAGTTTTTCCTTCCAAGCTTTTTTTAACAAAAACAAAAAAGTCTATTTCAAAAAAAATCAGTATATTTATTAGTAAATTAAAAAAATCAAATTTAATTAAATATATCATTTATACTTATATTTAAGAAAAAACATAGAAAAAGTTAGATGAGTAAATTAGAGATAAAAAATGAAATATTTTATTTATTTGGTTACATAGATTGATAATGGAAATAGGTACCCAACCATTTATTGCAATGCAGAAAAATGTATTCTTAATAAATAATGTACTATAAAGTAAAAGTTTAAAGTTGAATTAATTCTCTTTTGTTCAAAGCTTTTTTTGTTTTGAAACTGACATGTATAGTTCTGTCATCCAACTTCGAATCATTCAGTGTATTTATAGCCAAATTGGCCTCCTCAAAATTTTTCATAGTAACGAATCCATATCCAAGACATTTTTTGGTCTGAGGATCCTTCACTATTGTTACATCTTTTATAGCCCCAAATTGCGCAAATAATTTCCACAAAACAGAATCTTCGGCGTCTGGCAACAAATTGTTGACATATATATGGTATTCTCCCATTTTGTTTTCGGTAATGTCATCATTATTTTGATCCTTGTCTAATTTCTTATTTTTGAAGCTCACACTCAGTTGACGACTATCTAATACAAATCCATTTAAAGTTCGTATAGCAACTTTAGCATCATCGACATTCCTCATTGTTATAAAAGCATATCCTTTAGATACATTCGTTTTTGAATCTTTAACGATGGAAACATTTTTTACAGCTCCAAATTGAGTAAATAGTTTCCAAAGGGAATCCTCGTCGCATTCTGGAGCAAGATTATAAACATACAATGGATATGAACCGATTTCACCCAATGCATCATCGCTCTCCATCCTATAAAAACATATAAAGGAAATTAAATCAAAATGTTTTTGATTTTTTTTTTATTTTACATGTATTCAAAATTTTTTATATGACCTCAACATGATAATATTGATTTTCACTTTATATAATATGCAAATAGGTATTAAATTTGAATGCTTAATTAGTTCATTCAATTAGAACTTCTTTCTAATAAAAGTTGTTTTCAGTACAGAAAATCTGAAATTTAATGATTTCATTTACAACTTACACATCTCCATATGATCGAGGTTTTAATTATTGCTTTAATTTCATCATTATCTATGTATAAACTGATAAATCAGCCCTTTTCATACAAACGACCAATCGTCCTAATAAAAAAAATTTTTTCAATAAAATGTAGAAATATTGTTTTTAGATCTATAGTTCGTTTATTGATTGTTTGATCATATACTGTTTAACTTTATTGATATCAAATATAAGTAAGCATATCGATGTTGTTTATATAGATATATTGAAAATATTTATAAACCATATAAGTAGGCATATAATATAAAAATAATTTTTATAAATATTTTTCACAATTATTTCATTCCAAAATTTGTGTATGTCTTTAATCATATAAACTGAAAACAATAATCATCAATAAAAATTATTATGTTTATAGTTCAATACATAATATTATTATCTATTTACATAAAATGTTATTAACAAACCATGTTTATTTTTATATTTATTAGCAGTTGCAGTTTCATAAATGTTATAAAATAATAAAATATGTAGGCAGGTACTTTGTAACTTACCGCTCTGTAGCTAGACATTTTACAAAATTTTCTGTTCAAACAGAATAAAATTTTAGAATTTTTCTTTCTTTTCAAATGTTACTTTTCAAACGGTTTCTTATCTCGATATTGCTTTTACTGTTCTTAATCTATAAATCTTTATTTTCGCTTTTATGTTTCATACTATTTGAATAACAAATTTTTTACGAAAAAAATAATTAATTGAAAATTAGGCAAGCATTATTGCTCATGCGCAGAATTTTATTATAATTGTTTACCCTTCTACTGCTACAGGGATTATTAAAAAAAGACGCTATTTAACTTTTATAAAAAATAATTCTTGAGTATTTTCTCGACCCCAATTCACAGCAATAAGTTTGCCATCAATACTGTTCTAATTTTCCCAAAAATTTCGCTTTCCGTTTTCCAAAAAAAGTCAATAAATTTTAATTGGAAACTTACCCAAAAAATCAAACAAATAAATTTTAATCAAAAAATTTCGAAATATAATGAATAGGCAAACTAAAAAATGTTTAAATAATTTTAAAATATGTATGTACATATGTACATACATATTTTAAAATTATTATATATATATTTCATATAAGATAAAAATGAAAAGCATACATATGTATGTAGATAAAGATGCATCTATTTGTAGTAAACATATCTACCTACATATGTATCGAGAAACCTAGTACGTTTTAATCGCAATCGGACAAAATGCTATGGAATATATTTTTCAATATTCCTAAAAAGTATTTCATTGAAATATTCTTAATATTACATTTAGCAATATTCCTAATATATACGTATTTCTAATATAACAAAATTTCCAATAAATATTGCTAATATAGCCTACAATATTTAGCAACTGCATTATTTTATTTCCATTTTTTATCAACATTAATACTTAAAATAATTTATTGAATAAGTCGGCAGCCATATTGATATTTCATATTCATATGTATAATTCTTTAACATTAGGGCAATGATATTTAGTAAGTATATTGTTGATAAGTAAATCAATATAACATAATAAAAAAAATTTATATTTAATTTAATTTCATAAAATTTTTATTTTACTTACTTTTTTCCTTTGAAACTTATTCTCAACGGACGACCATCCATAGACTGCCCATTAAGGATTTCTATGGCTTGGGACGCCTCATCCAAATTTTTCATGGTAACAAAGGCATATCCCTTATTAAACTTTGAATCACCATCCTTCATAACAGCTACGCTTTTTATTGAACCAAATGGAGCAAATAATCGCCATAAATCATTATTGGTTGCATCTGGTGATAAATTAAATATGTATATGCTATATCCGCTTAACTTTTCATCAACCTCTGATTCAATATCACTTTGCCTTTCTTCTTTTTTGCTACTTTCTTTCTTAGGTGTAATTGGGTCAAATCTTTCCTTACCCTTAATTACCGAAGAACTTTCAGCTTTTCCCAAAGTAGGCTTTTTTCCACCACGAACCATTTTTACTTTTATTTTTCAATTTATAAAAATTCAATTAAAAATTTATTTTTCAATCTTTAATTTCAAAGCTGATATTTTTTTGTACGTATACGAGGCGTGGTACTTGACTTGTATGTACTGACTGTACCTCTACCTAATTGAAAGCAAAGTGTGATTTTGTTGAGGTGAGCATTGTCGACAGCAGTGCTGCCAACGTGCAGAAAATTTCCCATTCGGGAAGTCAAGCCACCTTCCAAAAAGACAAATCTGGAAATCGTAATTTAGGGAAATTTTTGGCATATGCAATTTTAAATTTACTAAATTTTTTTGGCAAAAAAAAGATATTAAAAAAAACAGATCTTTAAAGCAGATGTAGTAATGTTAATGAAATTTTGGAAATGACCTTAATACATATTTATTTTAACGCAACATTTACATGTCAATCAAATATTGACAATAATGATGGAGATTGTTAAAAATTAATGAGAATATACATTTGCATGGCAGTCCACATTTATCGTTCTTTATATGCACTTTTAATTCAAAAACTTAAAAAGTCGGCATTACACCATCAAATAAAAAATCGCAAGAAAAAACATTAAAACAGCTGTTTATTGTGATAAGCTTATTTGAAATTTATTTTTTATATTTAGTTAAATTATTTTTTATAAAGTTTTTGAAAATTTATTTTCTTTGCAATTGAATCACCTCGATATTAATTAAAAGAAATTTAATTTGACAATATATTTGATCAAATAAAGTTTGATCTCTAAACAAAACTTCTCACCCAATTTCAGAGTTGTGAAATTTTATCGTCAAATTTTTCTTGATGTATAAATCCTACCTAGGATAGCATTTATACATCAAATAAACTTTGATGTATTACATGATTGAATGGAGTTTATTGACGAAGAGTTGTTGTATAAACATCCAATCAAATCAAACAAAATCGTAGGAGAAAAAATCTCTTGAGGAATCTTGTCAATTCTTATCAGTCTTTAAAAAAATGAAATTGCTGGACTAGATTTTACTCATTAAGAGCAGTCCAGTGATCAGTTGTTTTTTCTGAAGTTTGTATTTTTAAAGTTTTTTTATATAGTTTCAAGTTTTTGCAATTTGTTTGAATTTATTAAATATTTGAAAAAAAAAGAGTGCTTATAGAATATACAATTCAAAGTTTATAAAAAGTACTATAAAAAATAGAAAGCATATAAAAAGTTGGCAATGGAATTTGGAAAAACAAATGAAAGAATGAAAATCAATGGATTAAGACTATTAATATATTATTTATTTTTCCTTTTTCTTAAGTTATTTATTTTTCAATATGCTATATACTATGGATATATGTCTAAAGTATAACTTTTAACATAACTACTAGAAGTAATTTTTTATTGAGCATTTATCTTTAAAATTAAGTATTTGTAATCATATTAATTGTGCAAGACAAGATTTTTAAAATTTTACGTACAAAAATATCTTCTAAATTAAGGTTTTTTAAAATTGGAATTTTTTACACCTTTTTCCATATATTCCAAAGTTCACAAAAAAACATTTTGACCAAAACATCAATTTAATAGGCAAAGTATGGTAACACTATTTCCATGACAAAAAATTTTTGCTATTTTCCGCTTCATTTCATCAAGATGAAATCAAGAATAAGTCAAGAGAAAAAATAGTTCGACTACAAATAGCTCAGCTCAAAAACGACGAACCAATGAATCGAACTTTAATTCTATATAAATCGACTTGATGCAATTCCTCTTTCAATTTAGCTTCAATTGAAGATTTCGAAGGGTTCGTGAATTTTTTTTATCGGATCTTCAAAATGAAGATTGTATTTTTAAAAAAAATGAAGATATTGGGGCTAATCTATTTGACACCACTGCTCTAGCGTTATAATTTTTTGACGTTTTTTTAGTACATTTTCTATGAAACAAAATCGGAGAATTTTAGGTTGTTTTTTGGGAAATTTAACGATTTCCGGTTGGAGGCACTGGTTGACAGCAATGTACGAGACTCGCGGCAAAAATTAATCATTCTCTTTTTAAATTATCGTTTTTATTGCAAATTTATGCAAATGAAATTTTATGAACATTTATGCAAATTTTTAAATTTAAATTATGCAATGAAAAATATGAATATAAATATGCCATTATTTTTTTCTAGACTAAAATATGCCCAATCTTAACTCTAGTGCATAATTATTTGCTTGCATATAATAAAAATTTCTATTTCTTTTGGCAATCCGTTTAACGTTTTTTTTAAATTTTAATAAAAACTTCTAGAAATGGGTTGCCAAGCCCTTATTTAAACCAGTTAGCATTGTAATCATTTGTAATACTCTATTTATTGTTCATGTCTAGTATCGAAAATGACTTTCTTAAAATGAATGAAAACCACTATTTATATAAAAGCAACAACGGTTTTAACAGAAACTTTTTGACGAAAAAACGAAGAGGTGAGAAAGATAACGAAGAAGGTTTAAAGCGGTTTAAAAATTATTTTCTACAATACGGAAGTCACCTTTTTTGTAAATAAAAAGGTTGCATTCAATAAATAGTCAAATATTTTTATTTCTCGCTAGAAAATAGCTTTTTAATAAGAAAGCAATTTACTTACAATAAATCTACGAAGCACAATTTCTATGAAACGCAAATTATACAAAGCAAAAACTGGAAATAGTAAAAACAAAGAAATTTCATTTTTATTTATAATCTTAGAGTAAAATTTTTACAAACTAAATTTTTTATAATTTTCGCTGTAAGTGATTCGGCGCGAGAACATTTATAAATAATATCGAATCCGTTTTAATTGGCAAAGACTTAAAATGTATGTACTTAAATATAAACAATTTCAAGAAAATTTTGTAGTACACATTAATATTTCAATTCTATCTTAATTATTTTTAAAAGTTTACTTTGTTTAACTTAAAAACATATTACAAATATGTATTTCTCAAATCTTTCTTTTAGCGGGGGAAATCTGAAATTTCGACAGCATTATCTTCAAAAGTTTATTATTTTTACTTTAACAAAATTAATAAGTTCCTGTTTATTTACACCAATTTAGTGTTCACATCAAATTTGGTTCACTTAAACTATTGTTTGAAATTTCTTTTGGTTAAGAAATTTTAATTTTGAATCAATGCCAATAATAATGTTCTAGGATTATGATTGTATATTATATGTATCCTTTACTTTTTGATTAAATTGGTTCTCCTTTGATTTTCTTTTGAGATTTAAAACTTACTTGCAAAGTTTTATCTTCAAACACAAATCCATCTAGCGAATCAACAGCTAGTGTTGCTTCATCTAAATTTTTCATCATAACAAATCCGTAACCTTTACACTGTAATGTACTTAAATTCCTTACAATATTTATGTCATTTAATGTACCAAATTGGGAAAACAATTGCCAAATGGAATCATCTTTAACATCTGGTGATAAATTATTCACATACAATGGTATAGATTCACTTCGATCATAATTAGTAGTACTAATTATATTTGGCTTTTCATCAGTATCCATACGTTGTCCTTTGAATGAAACACTCAAATTACGTCCATCCAATTTAAAATTATTTAAAGTTTCAATTGCATTCTGAGCATCTTTAAGATTTTTCATAGTGACAAAAGCATAACCTTTCGAAATATTTGTATTGGAATCTCGCATTATTGTAACACTTTTTACAGCACCAAAACTGGCAAAAAGTTTCCACAAAGATTCTTCAACCGTTTTTCCAGATAAATTAAAAATGTAAAGGTGATAAGCTCCACGCTCTCCAAATTTATCATCTTCTGATCTATAAAATTACAGAAAAAAAGTAAAAATAAATTAAATGAAAAAAATTATGTATAATAGAAGTTTAAAATATTTAGTTGCAAGAAATGCATTCAAATGCAAATAATTTAATTTTTTTTTAATCTAAACGTTTTCAATTATGACGAAACACATTTCAATGCATACATTTTTATTACATAAACAAAAATATAAATATAAGATTAAATCTAAATTGAAAAAATCTTTTCTAAATACATAAATATTTTATTCAATTTTACTGTATTTAAAAAAAATATTAATGTATTTCTGAATAGTATGTCGATATGTGAAAATCTTTTAGAGTTTAATTAGCGTTACTTTTTCACAATATATTAAAATGTCCCTTTTTAATATTGAAATAAACCTCCAGCGATTTTCTGGTTTGATTGCTCATTTATCCCGTTCTCATTTTCTAAGACACCAAGAATAGCAAAAATAAATTTTTATTCTCCATGAGTTTCCAACATATTTGGTTCCGAAATCTATGGTTTCACAATTTTTTAAATGACATTTTTATTTTGATTTTTCGTTTAAATCATACAAAACAAAAGTCTTACATTAACATATAGCCAGTTAGTTTTGTGATTAAGAAGTTACTCAGATTTTTCATCAGATTGTATTTCTTCCAACCTAAAACAAAAAGCATTAATATGTCATTATTGTTTTAGTTTAATTATAAGAAATGATTTTTAAAATTAAATAATTAATAAAACTGTGAATAAATTTATTCAATTTTCAAATAATAATTGGTGTAATTACTATTTTTATTTTTATTAATATATCTTATATTAAAAACAAAAGACATAAAAATTCTTTATTTAATTCAAGATTTAAATTTACAGTCTGTCAAGACAATACAAAATTTGCCTAAATATGTGTAAAATAGGCAATAAAATTTATTTTGTAATTCAAGAGCATTAAAATCTTTTATTAAAGATTAAGATTACAAAATTTCAATGAATGAAATCTTTGGAAAATTATCATGGAAGTTAAACTAAAGCAAGAATAAAACGCAAAACGACATAAAAATTTTAAAATAGTTTCGACGATAAATAAGGAATAAGATATATTTTTAAGGAGAAGTTTCATATCTAATTACCGCAATTAATAATATATTTATTAATTATAACACATAATTTTCTTTAAAATTAAGTTTGTGTCAATTAAGTGAAATGATTTATTTTGCAGCGGTATTTAATATAATGAAAGATTTAATAAAATGAACATTAAAATATTTATCACCTCATTTATTTAGGCTTTCATATAGGTAACATTTTTTCAATACTTTTTAATGAAACTTTTGCCATGAAACGAGTTCAAAATAATTATAAATATGTAGGTAAGCACCTACTTATATTATGAACAGGGAACTGAATATAGACTATCGAAAAAAAACTGATCATCGGGCTATTTTTATTGTCAGTATAAGTTTTAAAAAATATAATAATTTTAATTAACACAACATTTTATGCAATAAATTATAATCAACAATGTAAAATATTAATATTATTTTATAAGTTATCAATAATTAAAAATTATATCTTACCTTAATTTTTTTATGTAAATTTAATTTTTATTTTATATTTTCATATTATTATTTTTTGAACACTTCAATAGTTTATTAAATTATAATTATTTTCACTATAAATACACTTTATAAAAATATCAATTATTAAAATGTTTCTATTTTAATATACTTATATGAAAAATATTGGTTTTATAACAGTTTATAGCATTGTTGATATGAACTTAAAAATATTTTTAAAAAAAAATATTTATGTTTATTAAAAAATTTGTTTTTTACTAGATAAAGTTAAAAAATCGAAAGAAAGGAGATTAGTTAAGAGATTACTAAATATAAAAACAACAAAATAAGCAGAAATCAAATTTTTACTAAAATTACCACTTACAATTGAGTAATGAAATAAAACGAAAGACATAATAATTTTCATTTCTTGGTTAAATATACTATTTAATTAAGTGATTTGAAATATGTGGTACATAATATATAAATGTGGTACATAATATGTGACCTGAATGTTTTGGATTTAATATTTTTAAAGTTGATTTTTTTCATTTAGGTTTGAAGGGTTATTTAGATAACTTGTAATAAAAAAAAAACAAAGCAAGTAGCTACAAGTTGCATGAAAAGACCATTTCATTGAATAATTGAAAAACAAATAGCTTTAAGTAATTTGTAAAAAAATCTAGATGCCATAAAATCGAGAGAACCGAATAATATGGAAATAATAATCAAATGGACTAAATAATATAGAGCCAGATAAAAATTATTCCTCTTTTTAACAAAAATTCACATTTTTCATATGTAAATAGTTTTTTTGATAGAATATAATTTTATTTGAATGAAAGTGTTGATTATTAATATTATGATAGAAGTATGTACATTTTTGAACAGAAAATTTTTCTGAAATAAGCTAGTAGATAATTGTACATCTTCATCCTATATTCAAATATTAAATAACTTTAATAATAAAGAGCCACAATAACTTTAATGTCTTTGATTTAAATTGATTTTTTCATATTATGCATCAGGTCAAATGATTTCAATTTATAAAACAGATATTTTATTTAAATAAACATAAATTTTCAATTAAAACTTACTTTTTTTCATTTTTAAAACTTATTTTCAGTGGGCGTCCATGTAAAACATGTCCATTTAGAATTTCAATTGCATGTGTTGCTTCATTTTGATTTTTCATAGTTACAAAACCGAAGCCTTTATGTTGTTTTGTTTGCGGATCACGCACAAGCGCAACATTTTTAATAGCACCAAAGGGCCCAAATAATCTCCACAAATCGTTCTCAATTGCATGCGGAGGTAAATTAAAAACATAAATATCGTACTCAGGAATCAAATTTGCTAAAGGGCTTTTTACTTGTAATTTACTTTCTTTATTTTTGCCATTTGCAGTAGCTTCCGATACCTTTTTTGGATCTCTTTCTTGTTTTTTATCTTCTTTAGCAATTGGATTATAGCGTACAGATGTCTTATTTTTCGCTGGAGCGGAACTTGTCTTTTTAGATTTCCCAGCCATTTTTATTTCTGTTTTCTTTGGTATTTTAAAGATTCTTTGATTTTTGTAATTTAATTTTTTTAAGATTTTTTGCAAATTAATTTCAAAAAATAAGCAAATGAAACCAAGACTAAACTTTTTCCTTACTCAAATTCGAAAAATTCAATTCCGATTTCCAATTCGAACTTATATTCAAAACAGAGTTGTCACCTTCATTCGTAAGTAGTTTATTTAAAAAACATATAAGTAGTTTATTTAAAAAGAGCTCAATGTCAAGAGCGTGATTGTTGACATAAAAATAAAAGCATATATCCTAAGAGAAAGTGCTTGTTTTCCCTTAATTCAACTAACCTAGGAAAAAATTTTTAATTCTATTTTATGAAATTAATTTTAGCTTTTCTATCTTTCATCTATCAAAATTTAAATCTCTTTGTATGCGATAATGTTTCTGTATGTATAGGCTAATGCTTCTTAAAGGTCTGTCGTGGTGATGCCGTTTAGCACATCTTACTTTTATCGTCAAATGTGCCAATGGTATAGTTTGACATGTCCATTTTTAATTTCAGATTTAATTATTATTATCTATATTTTTTTATTAACATTGCTTATAATTGTTAGGTTGGAAAACAGAATTGAAGCATCATTACAATTATGTTACCCATTAACTAATTTTTGACGTTAGTCAATTTAACAAACTGCTGCAACATAATAAAGTTATAACTTAACTTTAATGATCTTGATTATTGATTAATAACATGATTTTATTGATATAACTAAATAATCTGATGGGGAATTCACGTCAAAATTTAAAAATTTTCTACAAAAATTCTTTCAAACTACTCAAAAACTTATGTTAAAACTACTCATGAGTATTTAAACGTAGTTTGTAAATGTCTCTTTCGGTATATGAGTACAATATAACAAACTTTATTTTTTGGTATGGCTATGTATTTTTATTCTTATAGCCATTCTTTTTCATTGTTCAAATGTCAATTTAATAAAAAAGAAATTTCAAATATTAAAATTATATGCCAATATAGCTTCGAAAAGACAAAATCCAGTCCTTCGGTACATAAGAGGAAACTAAAAATTTTTCTTGAAGTTGTAAGTAGATTATAGTGTAAAAACTGCTTTGCTTGGACTTTCGGACAGTGAGAGAAAACGAACCTTAATTTCTATTATTTGCCGTTAGATCGGACAAAGTCTTAGATGTCAAACAGTGTTTACATATACGACTTTCAGCAGATTCAAGTATAATCTTATCGAAAATGTTTGCTTAGTTTTTGGTAAATATTTCTCAGGAAGCAAAACATCTAAAATTCACCATTTTTTTATTTACAAATTACGTAGCGAAGTCTGAAAACACTTTGTAAAATTCATTATGACATATTCGTAATAATGACATATTAGTTAAAGTGTTTTAGTGATAATTTATTCTTCTTTTATAATTACAATTTTAGTGAAGTGCAGTTAATAAATTGACTTTAAAATCTATTTAATTTCAATATGAATCGATGAGTCATTATTACGACTTTCGATGAGCGATTTGGATTATGAGTATCTATACTACATATTATTCTAAAATTGCAATATAACCAACATAATATTTGCATCAGTACCAAATGTAAATATTTCGTTTTTTATATTGGTTGCACTGTGTGGTTAAAGGCGTGGTTTTCATTATAGCAGTCTATAAATAAGAGTACATTTGAATCACAGCGTCATTTGTTTAATTGCATAGTAATATTAAAAGCGTAAACTTACAAGTTTGAATCACCTTACGTTAGGGGGGAAAAGTCGAGGAAAATTTTTTACAATTAAGGAATATTATATAAAAATGGTTGGTGGTCCAGTCCATGTCCAATCCAAACGTGAAGCAAGATATAATCCGATGAAGAAACAAGTACAAACTGAATACCGTCACCCGAGGGATAATGAGGCAAGTACTGCCAATGATGCCGCAGCAAATCCAATTTCAATATTAGTCAGAGAATACAGTATTTATATATTCAATTTGGCTGATGATGTTATTGAAAACGATTTATGGAGATTGTTTGGACCATTTGGAGCTATAAAAAATGTCGCAATTATGAGAGACCCGAAAACACATCAAAGTAAAGGATTTGGTTTTGTAACAATGAAAAATTTATCAGAAGCTGAAAATGCAATCGATATCCTTAATGGTCATGCAATCAGAAATAGGCCAATGAAAGTCAGTTTTAAAGGAGCAAGAACCAAGTAAGTAATGGTCATGCGCTTTCACACATTTTTAAAATTTCAAAAAGTGAATTTTTAAAAAAAATTTAAAAGAAAAAAATTTAATTAGAAATATTTTCTATCGGTTATTCAAAATTTATAAAAACTGCACAACAAAATTAATTAAAAAATATTTGTAAATTACAACTTATAGGCAAAATATTTCAGTTCTTTCTAAATTTCTTTAGTAAAACTCTATATAAAATGGAGTTTCTACTATATAATCTACATAATATGTACATCCAAATATTTTTACAAAATATAATATAAAATTTCATACATGGACACAATTTTTTAAATTAAAAATATTTTTTTAATAAAGAAGCATAAGAATATTTTAATAAAGCCATAATTTAAAGTATATAAAATTCTCAATTAAATTAGATTGAGAGTTTAATAATTTAAATAAAGAAGTAATAATGTGCAGGTGATAGTTGAATTTCTATAACCTGCACTCTAATAATATAAAAAGTAATTTTAATTAATTGTGTAATAAAGAGTATGTGATTTTTTTATATCATTACTGTTATAATAAGAGTATATTATTAAAAAAAAAAAGTGCAAAAAATTGAATAAAATTTTTATTAAATTTATAGTGAATAAATTATTAATAGTGAAAATAATACGAGTAACAATTTTTATAAAAATATGGAAAAATACAATTTTTATATTCCTAATATAATGTATAAACATATCCAAGGTAAGATACTAATACTAATAATAATAATATTTAATATATAACAAATATTTTTGATTTAGCTATGACACACACATTATTGGAAATTAATAAGTAATAATATTAGGAAAGATAAATTTCGTTTAATTAAATTTCAAGTATAAAAAAATCGTATAAAATGTTGATGGAAGTAAATTTTAGGCACGTAAATACATTTTATTAAATTAATATCTTTTTTCTTGTATATTAGTCCGCCATTTCCATTTTCTTTTGTAAGTATTTGTGGATACCCACATCTTCTATTGTGTTATTGTATGTATAGTGTACAAAATATTCAATTTGAAAATCAAAGTAGGAATCTATAAATTTTTTATATACATACATAACTACAAATATACAAACATGTTTGATAAGTTTTTTTAAATTCAATTTTGAAAATCTCGAAATTTGTTTTGCATTAACTTATTCGTACTTATTAACTGTTATACTAACAATGTATGATATGCTAATTGTTATGTTAACAATGGTACACTATACGTATAACTCACAAATTAAATTATTTCATTTTAGTTAATTTTGTAAGCATATGGGGGCAGGTATCCTTCTACTTTTCTACAATTATTAACCCAGGTACATTCGTACATGTCTGCTAATTTAATTTATAATGCCTTTTAGATTTATAAACATGCATATTACAAATAACCTACCTACATAATCAGAAATTTTAATCACTTATGTATATTTTGTACTTACTTTGTAACTACCTTTTTAGGTTTAGATTCTTAACAGAGTCCTTTTAAATTGTATTCTGTAATCAGAAACTTATTTCTTTCAAAAATTTAAAATTTACATTGTGGGGCATATATAGATGTACCATATATGTTAAAATGTTTATTTAATTTATAAATACTTGAAAAAACTATTATACATAATTTATAAGTATACATACATAATACCTACCTACATATTATTACATTTAGGAATCACTTTCACTCTGTATTTTATCTTATATGAGCCGTTCATTACACACATTTATGTTTGCCATAAAAATTTACCAATTTCTTTACGAATTGAACTAAATATTTGCTTTATCGTATATGTATAAAATTATGAGAATAGTTCGGAAAAAACCGTCATTAATACTTATTGCCTATGTTAATGTTGGACCTAATTAATTTTTTATGTAAAAAGTTTCATTGAAACAACAATTTTTAATTTCAATTTAAAAGCCTCTTAGTTCCAACATTTACACAAAAAATTTTTGTTTTCGCTCAAGTTCTGAAAAAGGAGATTAAAAACATTTCATTCATTAGATCTAATTTCATTAATGCAATGATTATTAGGCAATAACTATTATGATTCTTATAAGCTAGTTATAAATAAAGCTAATCAATAAAAATTGAACTTTTCATTTAATATTTTCAAATATTTGTGGCATGGACGTCTTATCTATGAACATACATACATCATACATCTTAAATACACAAAAACAAATATCGCATTCAATTGGGCAATGCCGAAACGAAATCTTTAAGATTTTTTTTTTTTGTTTTTTAATAATTTATTTTATGTATGTGTATATTATTAAGTTAATAATTTCTTTTTTCATTATTTTTTTATGCATTTAGGAAGAAAGTACGACTTGAAAATGGCTAAATGGAATTCTAGATAAAACTCATTGGAACTTATCAACACATGACTTAAGCGACGAAGAGTTTCGTTTGTTTATTTGCCTTAAGTAAACCTGAATAAATTTAAGTATGAATAATTAAACTGAATTGGAGCAATGGAAGTGATCTCTAATAACAAAATTAAATGAAAAAAATTTATGTCAGTAAAACTGTGGAATCATCAGAACAACGTTTGAGTTAATAAAAAATTAATATGAAATGTTCGCCGGAATTAAAAATTAATCAATTAAAATTGTAAAATTGTACAAGTTATAAAATATTGTTTATAGAATGCTTTTTTAAACAATAAAGAGTACATATTCAAAAATTGCAAAAGAAAAAAAAATCATTAGTTTAAAAAACGAAAAACCTTTTGATGAATTTTATTATGTGCTAATCAAATCGACCAAAATTTTGTTTTTTATTTTTATATAAAATTTTACAGAGCCTCAGGACAGGAATTATTTCATACTAACATTCTTTAGTAAATAATAATTGTGTAATCGATAATCTGCATTAAAATTTAATTAAATTTATTTTATACATCTGTAAAATAAAATAAATTTATCAACGTATTGCATCTACAATATGTTGTTCCAATATTGCTTAATTACCTTTACCTCAGTAGAAATGAGATTTTCGATTATTCCGACATTCACTGAAAGTTGTAAATTAAATCTTAAAAATCTTTTTGCACATACTTATAAATTTAAAGAAACAAAGTATTTTGCTATTTAATTCTTCATTGCAAAATTTTATGTTACACTCCTCTAATTCATAACATTTTGCAGTGACAACAAAAAAACAATAATAATTGCTTTAACTTTAAATAAAAACACTTTTCTGACTTTGTAGTTTGATTTGAATTTATCGAACATGTTTTATATCAAGACCTAAAGATCTGAATTATCGAAAATCCCCAAATTTAATATCAGTAGTACATACAATCTTAAGAAATTTTTAGTCCTCACATTAAAGCATTTTACATCTGGCAGGTGGGAAACTTTTTAATTAAGGTATTTTCGACACGCTTATAAAATAAGTTTTTGTTTGTTCCTCTGATATTTCTCTAGTTTTGGTTTAAATTCATAACTTTAACTTAGTGAGCATTCGATTTTAATATAGATGTTCTGCGAAAATAATGGGAACTGCAATATTATACATACTTATTTTAAAAGTTGAATAATTATCTTTTTTCTTTTATTTACAAAATGTAACAATTTTTTTATACCTATAAGTATTTTATGTTTTTGTATATTAATTTTTTTATTTTAAGACAACAAAAAAAATATTATTTTTGTTGTTAATTACAGTCTCATATCAGCCGAACATTAAATTTTGCTTAAATTCCCTTTTCGTACATAACTAGTAAATTAAAAATTCACATAATTGAGTTGATATGAAAAAGTAGGAAAGCATAAAAAAATTTTGTTATAGTTTATTTATAATAAGAATTATTATCACACTCATTCAATTTTCCATATTTTATTTGAAATAGATATGAAGATGAGGAAAATCCAATGGGAGAACCCGGAGCATATCAAATTTATGTTTTTAATTTGTCACCAAACACTATCGAAGATGAACTATGGAAATTATTTGCTCAATTTGGAGCAGTAAAAAGTGTAAGCATTGTTGTTGATCAAAAAACGCAAAAATCAAAGGGTTTCGCATTCATTACTATGAAAATCTTAGAAGAGGCACAAAAGGCTATTCAAACATTAAACGGATTCAAATTAAATGGAAGAAATTTAATGGTTAGTTTCAAAGGACAACGTCCAGATGATCACGAATTTAATAAAATGAATCCAGATGTCATTCAATCGGTGCCTATTTATATAAATTATTTACCACATGACATTGATGATGGCACAGTTTGGAAATTATTTTCTCAATTTGGTGCCATCAAAGACGTTAATATTGTACGAGATAGTGAAACAAGAAAGTGTTTGGGTTATGCTTTTGTTAACATGAAAAATTTAGAGGATGCTACAATAGCTATAAGTTCTTTAAATGGATTTGAATTGAATGGAAAACGTTTGCATGTCAGTTTAAAAACGAAGAGGGTTAAAGAATAAAAATCAATTTATATGTAATAACATTTATTTATATTAATCATGAATTATACTTCATATTAAATTAAAATTTAGATGTAACATACCTGCATATAAATTTTTTGGAATCGTCAATCTAATAAAAAAACATATTTTGAAAATATAATTAAAATTGTAGATGTGTTTTCATATAAAAAACAATGCATATAATATTTTTTCTATATACATGTATGTATTCTATTAATATTATTATATTAAAATTATAAAACACTAAGTAATAAAGTATGTTAATAAAATTTAGTACTCACAAAAATTATCCGGTTTTCAATGTAACCATCCTCATTATAACTCTTGAAAGGGCCCGTTGACAAAAAGTATTTTAATACTAAAAGAATTTTTTTGTCAAAGTAATATAGTCGAGGCTCCGTGGTATGTTGAATTTTTTTTTTTTGAAATTTTACAAAATTCGAAACTTCTCTAGTAAAATTAGTTTTTCTAGTGAAACGTGTTAAATATTTTTAAAAACACGCGAAAAAGCATTCATTTCATACAAAGTATACATACTAAGCTAAAAAAGTATTTGTGAATGTTATTTGTATGAAAAATGCATTAATCATTTATTTATATGCAGGAAAAGTCCGGTACCTTTTTTTTAAAAGGCTGTAGCTCGAAAACGAGTATATCTGCACCTCCCCCCTTAAAAATTTTGTTGGAAATTGATAAAAGAATAATCCCTAAAATTGTATGCCACCTTACGTGAAACACTCTGTATAAAAGCAATACCTGTATAATTTTTAGTAATGCAACTGACTTTTTTTACTAACAATATGTATGGCTATTATCAAGTTTATTTTATGAGCTACAATCATTGTCAGATACCTACTTGTATGTTGCAAATGTTAATAAAAAAAAAACTTCTCTTTTAAAAAAAACAATTGAAACAATTCGTAAACATCTTAAAGTTTTGGAATATTCTTTGTGCTGGAAAATCTTTAAAAATTTTAACCTGAACGATTATTTTATCGGTACTTCCGTAGCATTTCTCCTTTAATGAAATTTGTCATAGAAAACAGCGTATGAGTTAATAAAGCAGTGCCAATATAGGTTGGTACATAAATACATAAATGAATTATTTCTGAAATTAATTAAAATTTCACACTATAAATCGAAATTGATCTTCGGGAAAAATAAGCAGATGAGCAAATTATTATTCATATAAATGATTTACAATTAAAAAAACTACTATTGAAATATATTTGTATTAGATGTTCTGAAAGTATAATAAAGTACACAAAACCAATAAAAATTTGATAATTATTATTAAATCGTTCTTTTTTTTCAAAAATCATATAAGTACTAAAAATGTAAAACATCAAAATTATTCTATTCTGCAAATTAATTTGATTTAAATTCATAAATCACATTTCAAAGAATTGATCTAATTCATGATCTAATATGTTTCTGAAATTCTATTCTTTACTTTTATAAATATTTTTTCCCTTTTAAATTTACTTGTAAATGCTTTCCGTTCATTTCGAAACCGTTTAATGTATTTATTGCAAGCGTTGCCTCGTCTAAGTTTTTCATATTAACAAATCCATAACCAGAACATTTCTTTGTATGTCCATCACGTATAATTCTTATATCTTTAATAGCCCCAAATTGAGAAAATAATTTCCATACTTCGCCATCTTCAACATTTTCTGGTAAATAATTTATATAAATAGGGATAGATTGAATGCGATCAGATGTATAATCTTTTACACCATTCTCTGGATCATCTGGACGTTGCCCTTTGAAACTAACCATAAGGTTACGTCCATCTAATTTAAATCCATTTAAGGTTTTTATTGCTTTTTCTGCTTCTTCAAACTTTTTCATTGTTACAAATGCGAAACCTTTGAATTTATTCGTCTTCGGATCACAAACAATACTAACATTTTTTACTGCTCCAAATTGAGCAAAAAGTTTCCAAATTGAGTCTTCGATAGTACTTGAAGATAAATTAAAAACATATATTTGATAAGCACCTGGTTCACCCATTACGTTTTCTTCATCATCAGACCTAAATTTAATTAAAAACAAGAAAAACTTAGATAGCATTTTAAAAATTTCTAATTATAAGTAATTTTTGTTTTTTTCAGCTCAATTCGTTTTTACCAGAGAGTAAAATTCTAAATTTATTGCTTTAATAAAAATTCTCTTTAAAAGATTGGGAAATCGAATGAAATTCCATTAAATCGATACCAAACCAACGAGACGATCGAATTTATAATTTATAGAAAAGCCAATAGACAATATCAATTCATAATTGATTCAGAAAAATTAATCTAATAAATTTTAATTCCAATTTTTCAACATAGCTTTACATTTTTCGAAAACTTTTTTAATTTTTGAAAATTTTGTTTTAAGAGAAATTTTTTTTTTAGATTGTACACATCTAATATTTCAATTATAACTTTCTCTTTTTTTTCGAAGATATATTTTATTACTCTATGTATTTTGTTGAATCAAAAAGAATATCCAATCACTTACCTAACCCTGGATCCTTTAAAGCTAACTTTAATCGGTCTTCCTTTTAATGCAAAACCATTTAGAATATCGATTGCATTTGTGGCTTCTTCTAAGTTTTTCATTGTAACAAAACCAAATCCTTTACTTTGATTAGTTTTTGAATCTCTCACTATTGTAACATTTTTAATAGCTCCAAATGGTCCAAATAAACGCCATAAATCATTTTCAGTTACATCATTTGTTAGATTAAATAAATAAATACTGTACTCTGTAATTAGTTCAGATATTGAATTTTTTTTCCGCTCACTTGAATTGGAAGGCTCTCGGTCGTGTTCTGCTGCTGATTTTGCCATTGGATTAAATCTTGCTATTTTCGATGCTTGTATATGTACCGGACCAGTACTGTTACGTACCATTTTCTGCTTAGCAAGCGAAAATTGTATTATTTCTTGCGGTATTGAAGTTATTCAAGAAAATCTTTGTAATCCGAATTTAAAACTCATATAATTTTGACTTCTCTACACCTAAACAATCAAAATTGACACCGATTAATCATTTGACATTTTTTTTTATCTAGTTTGCTGATACTGATACACTATTGATAATTTTTCGTGACCTCTGGTTGCGGTTCCCGAAACTAATATATAATGGTAATGTAAAAAGCTGAGGAATAAAGTTAAATAAGTAAAGAAAATTTAATTTCAATTACTGAAATAAAGAAAAGTTATCGCAATTATAAAAAAATCTCACTTTCAGAATGATATCCACATCTTATACTTAAATTCTTTTGAAACATGTTTTCAAAATTTTTATGATTTTCTTGTTTAGTAGTTTTACATGCTTAGGAGATTCCAATGATGTGTTAATAAACTTCTGATCGTAAACTTTTAACCAATCATGCATTAGAATCGTTTTATTAAATTCTTTCATTTTTTGATCTAATATAGTTCATCTGCTTTTTTAATAAGCAGGAATTTTATTATGGCTTGCCTATATTTTATTATAGTTTTAGTTAAGTTGTTATTTTAGTCATCATTGGGTTTCTATTATGCAACGTAACAAGTAAACATATATTTAATTTTGTCTTCCGCTTTTACCAAATTTTCTCCGGCTATTAAGTATTATGTTACTGAAATACTTTTACAAGAAGTTACATATGGTCAAAATTACGTAACACAAATATTCATGCCTCCCATTTCTGAAATAAAAACCGAAAACTTTCATTCCACTCAAAAAATTCCATTTCTTGTAATTGATATATATTCTTCTTAAATATCCCGAATTGTTTTTATTTCAATGTAAAGTTTCAGCAAAAGTCTTTTAGAAAAAAATTTTTTAAAAGAACTGAATTACTTTATTTTATCTCTAATATGAATAAAATGTAACTTACTCAAATTTTACATAATATTATTATATTTTGGTTCAGCACAATATGTAAACAAAAGTCCTTCTACACAAATTAATGTTCCACATTACCGATAGATGCACTGCCACAAACTTTCCCTGTTGTCAACATTTAATATATTTAAAGTACCGTAGTAAAACTCACTGTTGACCTGACCAATTTTGACAATGAAAAACAAAACCAAGCTTCAACTTAATTTTATTTTAAAATCTACCATTGAAAATTTTTATTGAATATCTAACAAAATATTTGTACATATTAATATTTTTAATTATTTTCAAACATAAAAAAACCACCTCTATATTGAAAAACCTGAGCAAAGCACACTCAAGTTATAAAATATTTGGTTACTTAGAAAACCATACATTGTAAGTGAAATTATGTAGTTGTTTACGATACTTTCCGCTTTTAGAGAATCAGTCAAAAATAAATAATATGCAATATACATACACACAAATTGATAATCAAATTGTGACTTGTGAGTAATTCTTTACCCTTTTAAAACTTGTTGTTTTATAGTTTTATTGCTTGTTCAAATAAAAAATATTCATGTTAAGAAAATTCAAGGGATATAGTTAAAGTACAATAAACAGTGTTGGTATATCATTTGATAATCTAAAATTTCTACTTGGTTAATCTGTTTAAATACCTAATTAAAATGGTAAGACCAAAAGTATCTGGTCCGATTACAGCCCCTGCCAAAAAACCAGTTGCAGCAAGTGGCGCAAGATTTAATCCAATTGCAAAATTAGAAAAGGAGAGTTCAAAAACAATACGTCCAGGAAATGTTAAGAATTCTAATTTAGATCATTTATCAACTGAAAGTAATCCATTAGCAAGTCTGGTTCCAGAATATGATATATACGTGTTTAATTTGGCACCTGAAGTTACCGAAAACGATTTATGGAGATTATTTGGTCCTTTTGGAGCAATTAAGAATGTTGCTGTAGTAAGAGATCAGAGTACGAAAGAAACAAAGGGATATGGATTTGTTACAATGAAAAATTTAGAAGAGGCTACACAAGCTATTGAAATTTTAAATAGTCATCAACTTCATGGACGTCCATTAAAAATCAGTTTTAAGGGAGAAAGAAGGTAAGAAAATTTAGGCAAAATGAATGATATTTAATGCGTACATTATTTTGTAAACATTATCGAAATAGTAAGCAATTAATAACAAATTATCATTTAATAAGCACAATTTTAGTGTAGTAAATTTGGGTAAGGTTACTGAACTTTAATTGATTCAAGAATTTTATAACGATTTCAAAATGATAATTTTAAACCATTTTTTATTGCATTACTTGAAGTTTGAAGAATTTAACAAATGAAGAAAAAATTGTGGTAGATTTACGAGCAACAAAGTTTCTAAATACATACATAGCTACATATCTTAATATATATTATATAAATAAATTGCTAATTGCGAGAAGTAATATGTAAAAAAGAAAGATGTAATATGTATGTAGTTACTCAAAGAGTTAATTTTTATGTTAAAGTAAGAATTAAAATGTAGAAACATTGAAACAATTCTTGAATTCCGTTGAAAACATCAGAATGACAGTACATACATCAAAGATTTATGTACTGTAATCAAAATTGAAATAGACACTTATAAAAAGTACATATTAAACGTAAATTGCATTTAATTGTTGTTTTTCTTACAGAGATGAAGACGAAGATGGTTTTGGTGAAATTGGGGCTTATCAGATTTATGTTTTCAATGTTTCGGCGAATACCACAGAAGATTCACTCTGGAAATTATTTGCACAATTTGGTGCTGTTAAAAATGTTGCGATAATGCACGATCCTGTCAAAAACACTAATAAAGGTTATGCTTTTATTACGATGAAAAACTTAATAGATGCGCAAAATGCAATCAAAACAATAAATGGTTTTACGTTAGATGGGAGAACTTTAAGTGTTAGTTTTAAAGGACAGCGTCCGGACGAAATGATCAATCCATACAAAATACTAGGTGAAACATCATCTGGGTTGCAATCTGTCCCAATATATGTTAACAATTTGCCAAATGAAATAGAAGATCAAACAATATGGAAACTATTTTCACAGTTTGGAGCTATAAAAGACGTAAATATTGTCAGAGATTTATCTTCTCTGAGATGTAAGGGGTACGGATTTGTTAACATGAAAGATTTAGAAGAAGCAACTTTAGCTATCAACACTTTAAACGGTTTTAATTTAGAAGGAAAAAATCTTCAAGTTAATTTTAAGTCTAAGAAAAACAAGGAAGAATAAATCTCAGCGTTTATAAAAATAATTGATATAAATTATCAAAACGTGTTATAAATTATTATCTCGAAACATGTATAATTTATATATTAATTATTAAAACAATTTAATATTTATGTCAATATTACAACTGTATACATATGTACATTTATTTATCTATTTTAAAAACTTATTTATTGCATCAAAATTTGGTTTATTTGAATATAAGTAAGTGATTCAAGAACTTAAATTTTATTTCATAATTAAACTAAAAATAAAATCCTACCAATTAATATTTAACCGACCAAAATTTATTCGCTTTTATTTTACGGTCTTCACATGCATATGTACAATTTGGGCGCGTATAAGGTGCCGTCTACATATACGGCGCATTTAATATTAAATCTATCTAATATATATCAAACAAAATACTTTCACCAGACTCAGTATAAATCTTGGATTTTGTCATATATGTAAACAGTACCTAAAACCCTAATGAACCCTACAACCAGTTCATAAATATATTTAGAAAATATATTTGTGTCTTTTTTTTTAAATAATGTACTTAAAAGGATGAACATTTACACCCTCTAATAATGTAAAGTCTAAGTCAGAATTTTCCGTTTTTCTAATGGATATTTCATTTTTACAATAAGATTACTCACTTTTTCAATTGGATTTTTGCATTTTTTCTTAAAATATCGATTGAAGATCCTACCTTCAAATTCATATTTGTATAAATTTTAGAAAATAACGAAACATGCAATACGCAATAATTGTTCTCCCTCGAAAATTTCAAATATTCTCAAATATGTGATGGTTATTCATTTTCTTTTCATTTAGCAAGTGAAATAACGAGATACACGATCAGGGTCTTAATTTCAAAATGTTTAAATTTGAAGTATGTATGTATATCGATACAAAAACATTCTTCACATCTCTAATTCATACTTCAAGCAAGTTTCAATCCTTAGTTCTCGTTTCACTCTAGAACCATGATCGCAATTACGTGGCACGCGTGATAAGTTGATATTGAAGAATATATCTGATATTTTTGTTTTTATTTTTGTTGATTGAATATATTTAAGTTTTCTTTATATAAATTTATGTTTAAATATAAATAAAAATAAAATAATAAATGAAATAAATAAAAATTAATATAAAAACGAATATAAGTATTCTGATTTTCAATATTAAATTAATTTTATGGAATAGATTCGGCACGCCGAAATATTGGTTTGAAAAAACACATCTTTTTTGGTACGATACATAAAATCTTATTGCGACCACTGCAGTCTAGAATGTTTCGTTTTTGAAGACTAGTGTTGCTATTTTAGTCCATTTCTCTTGTTTAATCATTTTAGCCTCGCAGCTAATTTTTTCCGGTCAAGTTTGGCCTTTTCTTGAATCTTGAAAAAAAACTTGCACTTTTCTCAGTATAACCATTTCCCTAATTATTAGATTTTTAGTTTTAAAACACTGAAAATGTTGAACAAATTTTCTCATCCATATTATGCTGTCATTTTTGTGCACAAGTGTATATTTTGCTATAATTTTATCATGCACAATTTTCAGACTTTACAAAACAGACCAACAACATATTATATTAGGTTTGAGAAAAAATTTTAAAATAATTTTATTTCAGAATAAAATTTCTATTTAATTTTATTCTGAAAATTTCAAATTAGATTACAAATAAATTAAGCATATTTTACCTCTAAAACTAAGCATATTTTCAATTTTGGTACATTTTGTTTAAATTTGGCATTTTTTTTCGAAAATTTGACTCATTAATTCTTTTATGAGTGGCAGCCCTAGTAAAAATACAAAATAACTTTCCCTCGCTGTCAGTTTTTTTTTATATATTTTTTGATAATTCAAAACAGCTTCAGTTAATTTCATAAAAAATAAATGTTTTACAAATATGCATAAAGAAATAACAGAACAATTCGAAGAACTTGGAATTGAACCTAGCAGTGAAATACTCGACAAATGTGTTGAGATTTGTTTAACACACGGTCTGTCAGATCCGGTTGAATTTGTTGAGCAATGGGTAGCATATAGTATATCAAATTTAAATGGTGCTGAGCCAACAATACCGTTCTTAATAGAATTTGAAAGAAAAGAACTTGCAAATATTAAAAAGGAACTGAAAAGCAAACCAAAAACGGTAAAATCTGAACTAAATTCATACTGCAAAGATTCCAGCGAGGCATTGGTTGATTTTTATAATGTAAATCCGATTGCACTGTACAGCGATGTCAATATTAATGATAATACAAATGAACAAACGACTGCATGTAATGAAGATGACAAAACGTTTGTAAATAACGATATTTGTGTTACGCCAAAGGCCATTAAAACTATAATACCAAGGACACCTTTAAGTCAAAATCAAGAATACAAATTCAGTCCTGCTAGTTATTCGCCTGTTTGTGGAACCCCAAGAACTTCGATTTTAAATTCTGGAAAAATTGTTTATACTTTTGGTCATTCAAATTTGATTAATGAAACCACATGGTCAGCAAAAAAAGCAATCACAATTAAAATAAAAAATTTAAGTCAATATGAGGGTGAACCTTTATCTAATAATTCTAAGTTTTTGTTTGATAATATATTAGACAAAATCAATTTGTTTGCTGATAATATATTCGAAAGAGGAAAGGAGCTATGTAAGAAGCATTTTGGTCCAAATACAATTGATTATGATTTACAACACCCAGATATTTTAAATTCCGATACTTTTAACACTATTGGAACAATAGTTTGTGAACATGAAGGCGTTCTTGACAAAAATTCAACTTTTCTTGTAGGTTCAGACGATATGCGATTGCGAAAAGTACATTTAAACTTCAACAAAGCAAAGCCATTCGGAATTTTTCCTGGTCAAACTGTATTAGTAAGTGGAACAAATCCTCATGGTGATGCTCTAATGGTTGAAGAGTTTTTTGTAGAAAGAAATTTGCAACTTCCTGAAATACCAAAAGTTGATGAACCCATAAATTTCGTTTTTGCTTGCGGTCCTTACACTAACTCTAGTGATTTAGTTTATGAACCTTTAACCAATTTGATTGCATATTGTAAGGAAAATAAACCACATGTATTAATATTGGTAGGACCATTTATGGACACAGATCACAGTATGATGAATGGAACTGTAATAGCTGAAAGTTTTGAATCATATTATTTAAAAATTATTACAGGTATTATCGAAGAAATGGAAAATGACATTACTATTTGTATAATTGCATCTAATAGAGATGCAAATGCTGATATGGTTTATCCAACTCCACCTATAAACTTAAGAAGAAATTTTTCTAACGTACACATGTTACCCGATCCCTGTATTGTTGATGTTAATGGAATCCAAATTGGTTTAACAGCAACAGACATATTTGAACATTTGCTTAATAATGAATTAATTTTAAGTGCCGGAGATAAAGTAAAACGTATTGTTAATTATTTGTTTCATCAGGGTTCTTTCTATCCACTGAACCCGCCTGCAGATGGTGTATGTTTTGACAGTGGTTTAGCAAGCAAATTTGCTAGAATTGAAAAAGTGCCTCATGTTCTTGTATTGCCGAGTAGTCATAAGCAATTTATCAGAGATGTGAATGGCTGTTTAGTTATAAACCCCGGTCGTTTAGCACCAGTTGATATAGGAACTTTTGGCAGAATTGTTATTCATTCTACCGAGAAAAAGGAAAAACCAATTGAATATATGGCATGCCAAATAAGAAGAGTTTGAATATGTTAATAAAATTTTTTATAAAAATTTAATATGTATTTTATTTTATGAATTATGTTCCCAATAAACACACTGTAACAAAAAAATATGAAAAACTGAAATACGCTGACCACCAATAATGAAAATAGAGGAAATAATACCAAGCAAGAGAAAACAAATAAGAAACGACGAAAATAAAATCCAAACTATTACAAATTCAAATTACTCGAAAGCCTAGAACTAAGAGTACAAAAGAGTTTGTACGATAGAGTTTGCGAACAAAAGATTTTTTTTTTTTTTTTTTTTTTTATTTCTCTTTTAATATATCGCAACTAAGTTAATTAAACCTATCTAGCAATTTATTTTTCACGTGAGAGAGAGTGGGAGAGCGTCCAACGACGGTAACCCCGGATTTTATAATTATATTATGGCTGCAAGATCTAAAGGTCTTCTTCTTTTTAAGCGACGTGTTGCACTACTATCTTCATCTTCAATTATTTTCCTCATTTCTATGTTTTCGTGTTGCGTTATTCTTTCGTTGTGGTTAATTGCATATTTCCTTATTTCTTGTTCAACTGTGTTGATTTTTAAGTCTCTGTGAATAGTGGAGTTTCTGACATACCAAGGAGCATCTACAATACATCGAAGCACCTTGTTCTGGATTGTCTGTATAATTTGGTAATTGCTTTTCTTAGTACATCCCCAAAGTTGGATACCATAAGTCCAAATTGGTTTAATAATTTGATTATATATTAAGAGCTTATTATGTAAGTTGAGCTCAGATTTCTTTCCGATTAACCAGTTAAATTTTCTTAGTTTCAAATTTATTTCCTCCTTCTTTTTCTTTACGTGGGTTTTCCAGCGTAATTTAGCATCTAGGGTCATTCCTAAATACTTTGCTTCATTAGCGTATGGCACTGCCTCATCATTAAGCATGATACTAACAGGGTTAATGGTTCTGTTTGTAAAATTTACGTTAACGGATTTAGATTCGTTAATTTTTATACGCCATTTTTTCATCCAAGAGTTGACTAAATTTAAGTTTACTTGTAGCTTGTTTGAACATTCCTCAATTGTCTTTCCCGTAGCTAAGATTGCCGTGTCATCTGCGAAAGTGGCTGTCATTGTTGAACTTATTTCTGGGATGTCTCTTGTGAAGAGGAGGTATAGCACAGGACCCAGCACACTACCTTGTGGGACCCCAGCCTCAATGTTTCTAATATCTGAATATTCGTTATTGTGCTTAACTCTAAAAGTTCTACCGGTAAGATAGGATTCTAGAATCACACACATTTCGTTCGGCAGTACCTTATTCAATTTGCATATTAAACCTTTATGCCACACCTTATAAGAGATTAAAATTAGATACAAAAGATTAAAATTAACACAAAGCAATATCCTAGTAAAACGTTCGTTTCTATTATAATCTGTACCATGGTAGCGAAAATTATACAATTCAATATATCCCACATTCCTTATGGAATGGAAAATGTAATCCCTTGGAGAGCCCCCAAAATCTAACGTATTTCGAGCAACATCCCAAGACCAGAAACAGTTCACCACTTTTAAATTAAATAGTAATTATAACAGAACACTTCTTTAAACTCAAGACATGATACTTGACTTGATTTTTTTTTCTACTAGGTGAAAAAATCTTGAAAGACGAAGAATGACCGCTCTATCTGCCTTTTTCGTCCGACAGTGGGGGAGCGTGACTCCTAGCCTAAAAAATCACCTAAATTCTGAACGGATAAAACGGATAATTTCCTCCGCGCTAACTTGGTTTTTTGGTGCAGGATTAAATACCTTCCATAAGGAATTAGTATTTCGTGTTAAATCGAATGGTCTTGTTCGTTTATGTCTTTCTGTCATTGACTTGATGATGAAAATTTTGGTTGCTTTTCACAAAATTTTGGCGCTGAATATTATAAATATTGCATATAAACCTTTTGAAAACAACTCAAACACGGTAGCAGAACTGTTTTTTGCAATAAGGGAGTTAAAAGTTTTCCGAATATCCTGGTCTATAAGCTAGGCTTGAAAGGTTTTTATGCATAATAGAAATATAAAACTTTCAAAGAGTTACAGTTTCCGTTACTATGTTTTAACCGGTTGCTCAAATTTTCACAGAGTACAAGTGATTCATAGACCAGACTATAAAATTTGTGATCATAAAACTATAGATATAAATTTAATCTCCAGATGTTAACCGAATTTAATTTCTTAAGATTCGAAAATATAAGAATAATTTGTAGAAGAAATAAACCTTGGAAAAATATGTTTAAACTTGTTTTTCAAAAAGCTGGAAATGTATTCCAAATAAAAATGCAGGTTCATCATAAAAATCAGGAGTGGTTTAATGAAGAATTAAGAGTCAGGAGAAAACTTGCGTTGAGCTATTTTAACAAATGATTCAGTGAGTTGGAAGACTTTTAAGACAACCAAAATTCTTCATGAGCACTTTCGGTATAATAACAATTAGTATTCCAAGTGTCCAATATGTAAATATGATTGAAGAACGTAGCTACAGATTCAAATTCAAAGAAATTAATAAAATTGAATATTACAAAATAATAAACGAAATGAATAAGAAATCAGATTACCATGGAATAAACAAAAATACAATAATTAATTGCTTTAATTATTTTGATGACGCATCGGTACTCGTACATATTATAAATCTGTCAATGAAGCAGGGACTATTTTAAAATAAACTGGAGCGAAACGATTGTGAAACGAGCTCCAAAAAAGAGTCATTCTAAATTCGTTTTATGAGGAGATTTAAGGAAGGGTAATATACATACATACATATGTATGTATGTATCTCCGATTACAGACATACCCGAATGAAAATAGTATTTTATGCAACGAACAAAGCGGATTTAGAGGTAATTATTTGTGCTAAACGGAATTAAACTTTGTTTTACATGATTGGAATTTAGCAAAAGAGAACAATTTTGTTATTACGGCGGTTTTTTGGACTTTAAACGAGCCTTCAAAACCGTAGATAGGAAAATTTTAATCAAGAAATTTAAAAAATATGACGTGGAAAATATAGAACTTCAGTGGTTTGAAAGTTTTCTTCAGAACAGGGGTAGAAAACAAATGTTTGTGGAAATTTTTCAAGATCAGAGTTGATAAGTGACGGTGTACCACAGGGAACTATATTAGGAGTTGTATGTTTTTTACTGCACATTAATGAGATTTTATGCATCAAATTTTACAAAATAGTATTGTTTGCTGATGATGCTCTTATTTACCAGAATGATGCTCAGAACTGATAATACCCCTGACGATGCTCAGAATACCAAAAAGTTTTGCTTTAAAATTAAGGAAGACCTAAGAAATTTATTTAATTGCCTATGCATAATCAACATCATGGTATTTAACAATAGAACTGATAATACCGCCGAAATAAAAATGAGTGATGAAATAATTGAGGAGGTTTAAGTTATTAAATACCTAGGTGTGCAAATCGACCTGGCTGCGCACGACATATGTAGGTGTGCGCAAGTTATGTGGGAGACTCAGTGAACTACAATTTAAAATCTATTTAGACTACTACTCTTCAGAAGAAATAATACACAGAAAAACATTTTATAAAAATAATAATTTCAAGAAATTAATTTTCAAAAAACTGAATCTGTTCAAAAACGCAAGAGTACAACTAACTTATGTCACATAAATGTTTCACTCATGTAAAAAGAATGGGTAAGTATTTACATTATAAATAAAGCCAATCATAAAATGAAACAGTAAATTATATGTTTGTATGTACTTAATTTATTTACCAATCCATTAAGGTTTATTTTGACTTGTTAATTGAAATTGCTTAGAATCCCATTATGTATGGGTTTTTCTCGAAAAATTCTTAATAAAAGGTTTTGTTTTTAAAATTCTTAGTTATCATTATGCTTATTTGATTTAAGCTTGAAGCTAACCTGCAAAACCCTGTCGTCAAATATTGTTCCATTAAGAGCTCCAACAGCTAAAGATGCCTCCTTATAATCTTTCATTGATACAAAAGCATGTCCTTTGTATTCGAATTTTGCACTTTTATCCTCAATCACCTTAACATTGCTAACAGCACCAAATTGGCCGAAAAGTTTCCACAAGTGTCTTTCTTCAGTATCGGCAGATAAATTGTACACAAAAATTTGAATTGTTCCAAATCGATCTGTTGCAATGTGTGCTGGAACTTTAGAATCCAAAGCTTCATTTTGATAAGTGTCTCCTGATTCGGAACTAGAAACAGATTTTACTTTAATGAATTTTATTCTAGACATGTGTAATTTAAAAATGTTTCATTTCATGTACATTTTATAGCAAAATAATTATTTCTGGGATACAAAAAATGTTTTAGTTCTATCAGTAAATGCATTTATAGTTTTTTTGTATGTTACTTGAATTTTATTAAAAAAATACGATTTTGTTCGATTTTAAAGATTTAACAGTAAAACACATTAAATTAGATCGAAAACGAGCTGTCGAATCTAGAAATTTTAACTTTTTCTAAAAATCAGGCAAAAGGTATAATAAGACCTTAAAAATTGTATTAAAATTACTTTACATATTCCTTCCGTTATTATTCAATAATTTGTCTTTATAAATAAAAGTAATAAGCTCCCAGGCATTAGAAATCCCAAAATCTTAATAGTAGGTAATGCAAGATGAATTACCGGCTGAATGGCAAATGTAGAATGGAGTAGATGCAAGGTATTCTGAATCTGTCAACATGCCAAGATGTTATAAATGTTTAGGGTACACTCATAAGGCTTAAACATGCAAGATAGGGGCATGTTGTTATAAATATGGAGATTTAACTCATGTTGCAGCAGAATGTCACATTGAAAAACAACAATGTTTGAATTATAGCAGAGCCAAGCAAAAGCTTGGTTTAGATGACTTGTAGGTAAACCACAGTATGGAAAGTTTAGAATGGTCGATGTATCAACGAAAATTAAAATTAGAAAAAAGCAAAATAACGAGATAGCAATCAGAAATCAAATGTGTGTACTTAAATGTGCAAGGTGTAATCAACAACTGGGCGGAGCTACATCTAATTAGGGTGGAGATGCAAACTATATAAAAAAGAATGCTGAGTATAAGACTATTCTGATTAAAACTTATAAAAAAGAATATTGGTGATTAACAGTAAAAATAAGGTGTAGTAACGAAAATATGATTTTTTCGTTTATATACAGAACACCTGGATATATCGCAACAGTATCAGAATTCTATAAGTTATTAAAAAATAAACTTGAAGATTTTCAAACATGGAAAATAAAAAATACACTTGCTGGAGATTTCAATGTTAACTGGCGTACGAATGATGTCCAAAAGAGGACCGTATGCGAAATAATAACCGATAATGGTTAGAGCAGGTTTTGAACGAGTACACAAGAATCATGTGAGAATCAAAAACTTTAATTGATTATGTGTTAGTGAAAAATACTTACAAATGCGATGCGAGAGGCAATTCGACCTTGGAGGTGAGCGATCATGAAACTATTGAAGTCATAATAAGCAATAATAGAAAGAAGGTGTTAATGTTGAGAGAAATGCTACATTTAAGTATAATAGGGAAAGATTTAGAGAGTTGTAAAATATTATGTTAGTAATATAGTAACTATTTATTATTGTGATTGCAACTTAAAAGCAATTATGTTGAGTTTTAATTTAAAAGAAATTTTAGGAACCTTTTTGCATGAGCATGTTAGTTAGACAAAGGCAGAAAATGGGTAGTACACTAATGAACTGAAAATATTAAAAAAACAGGGATAATAAGTACAAAAAATCAATTTTTTCAAATACAAATGAGGAATTTGAAAAATATAGGTACCTGAAAAGTTTATACAAAACAGAAGTCAACTTGGCTACAAATAGGTACATTAAGTTTAAGGTAGAAAATGCTATAGATCAGAAGCAGAAAATCTGCAATTAGCTAATGAATTTAATAAATATTTTGTAAATATTGTTGAAGAAATAAGTAGTAGCATTCCCTTTGTGCACTATAGCAATTTAGTAAATAGGGTAGACACAATTTATAAATTTGAAATTATTAGTTTAGAAAAACTTAGAACTGTTATTGTGGATATGAACAATAAGACTGATAGTAAATTTTTTAATGCAAGTATTTTTAAGGATAAATTTGATATTATAGAACCTAATTTTTGATTATAATTAATAAATCTTTATAGGAGGGAGTTTGCCCGGGTATTTGGAACGAAACAGTAATTACACCCATAGAAAAATAAAAAAACAAAAAAAATGTTCAGAATTTAGGCCGATAAATAATATTGTTTTGGAGGGTAAAATTTTAGAAAAGATTGTTAGCTCACAATTTGCAAATTATATGGAAAATAATAATTTTTTGTATGAGTTTCAATTGGGTTTTAGAAAGAATCACAACAGTGAATATTGATTAGTACTTACGGAATTGAAGGAGACGACCAATAATAAAAAGGTAATTTTGTCTGTCTTTCTAGATTTCAAAAGGGTCTTTGAGACGACTGGCCGAAATATTCCACTGAGTAAGCTGAACAATGCGGAATTGGGAGAATTGAGATTAAGTGGTTTAAATCTTATTTGACCAACAGGACGCAGAAGACAAAGGTGAATAAGTCCCAGTTAGAAGATATAAATGTAGAATTGGGAACTTTGCTTTTTATTTTTTATATTAGTTATATGGAAAATAACCAATGCTAATTTTGCATTATTTGCTGACGAGACATTGTTGTATGTAGTAGGTGATGACGCAGAGGAATATGTTAGGCTTGTAACATAAATTTAAGAAGCAATAAACTAAAGTTAAATATTTCATAGTCGAAGGGTATGCTACTATACTCAAGAGTAGCATTGAGATAGTTCATAGTATTAAGTATTTAGGTGTAGTCATAGATAATAGATTAAAATTTGATGATCATATTGATTATTTATGCAAAGATTGCGAAAAAAATTTTTTTCAAGCATATTAGGGTTAGATTATCTTAAAACAATGCAATAAAAATTTATAACGCACTAATAAAACCTCATTTAGAAGCTAATTCTCCAATTTTATTTATATTTTTGATCAATAATCAAATAAAAATTAGACTTCAGCAGATGTAGAATAGAGCGATGTGTGGTATTCTTAAGTGAACAGGTTTGCATCTGTTAGATTTATGCTAGAGGATTTGAAATGGTTGAATGTAAAACAAAGGATTGAGTTTAATGTATTACTATTAGGTTTAAAAATTAAAAATTGTCTTTGTCTAAAACATTTATGTGATCAAATTTTGTATGACGAATAAATACACGGTTGTGCCCTCAGGAATGACTCAAATTTTTGCATAAAGAATTTTATATTTGATTTCTTTTTTTGTTTTTTGAAAATTTTAAATTTTTTGCTATAAATATATTGAAAGAAACGATAAAATGATGATGATGATATGATAATGGTAAAATGAACCAAATAAAAATAAAAATAAAAATAATAATAATAATAATAATAATAATAATAATAATAATAATAATAATAATAATAATATTTACCGTTTGCGGGTTTTGAAACTGACTTGCAATAAACGATTGTCCAAAGTGAATCCATTTAAAACTCTTACTGCTTCTTGCGCTTCATTTAAATTTTTCATTGTAATGAAGCCAAAGCTTTTGAAATTTTTGTTATCCTGGTCGTGTATTACTTTTACATTTTTAACAGCGCCAAATTGTCCAAATAACTTCCATATCGCGTTATCAGGCGTTTCAGGGTTTATATTATAAACATATAATGTATGTGTTCCAGTTATATCATTTAAATTCAAACCATTAATATCTAACTCACGATCCCTTATTAAGTTTTGTATAAAAAAGATAACATTTTGTAAAAATAATTATAAAGATAAATATAATTTTAAAAAAAATAATAACATAATAACATAAACATAAATATCAAATAATTAAATATATTGTGAATAACATAATAAATTTCTTAGCCCAGAAAATAAACCTGCAATTTAAAAAATTCCAATATTTTCATTTTAAGGAATTAAAAAGTGCAAAAAAATATATATGAATATAACTTACTTGTTTTTGAAGCTGACTTGCAAAATTCGATTATCATGCGTATAACCATCCAATGTTTGAATTGCCTGCACGGCTTCATCTAGATTTTTCATTGTCACAAATCCAAAACCTTTACATTTTTTAGTAACCGGATCGAAAACAATCTTAGCGTTCTTAATTGCTCCAAAAGCCCCGAAAAGTTTCCATAAAGCATTGTCATCTGTATCTGGATTTAAGTTATAAACATATATGATAAAAGTTTCATCTTGTTCAAGATCGGATAAATCATTCAATTTGCGACGCTTCATAAGTTCCACATTCTTAGAATTCGCAGAATTGGAGAGGCGAACTTGTATTTTTGACACGCATCCGGGTGGGGTAGTATTATTTGTAGAGTTTATAGCATTTGTAGCGTCCTCCCGTTTTGAAAAACGTACAAAAGCGATGTTTCGGCCTTCTCCTTGCTCATTTTCGACTATTTTTGATGATACGATAGTTCCATATTGTGAATACAAATCTTCTAGATCTTTCTGCGTAAAAGAGTTGGGTAAACCAGATATATAGATATTGGTAAATTTCTCATTATCCGAAGAAGGTCGAGAATAAGAGACTTTTATTGTTTTGTTAAGAATCTTTGAACCATTGAGAACATCAACAGCTCTTTCTCCATCAGCTGCATTCACATAATCTACAAAACCATATCCCAAACTTTTTCCTGGTCCAGCTGCTTTATTCGTCAAATCTCTCATTAAGTGAACTTTCTCAACTTCCCCAACAACACTAAATAATTTAATCAAATCCAATTCGTCCATTTCGTGAGGCAAATAATTTACAATCAAGTTTTTGGACCCTGCTGAAAAGGGATTTTTTGCCTTACGCTTTCCCTTTTTTGATAACTCTACTTTTCTTTCAATATCATCAACCAAATTAGCAAAATCATCCTTAAAATATTTTTCAGAACTCATTTTAAGAATTTAATCTTTTTCAAAATTTAATAATTCAAAACTTAAATGGAAAATGGCTGACGACGCCCTTATAATAAATGCTTAATAGAAATCGTTCTAATATGTGGAGAGCTTCTTTCTTGGCTTCCTAAAAAAGTGGATTTTGGAACTTGTTTGTGTTTATAGATACATAAATATGAATGAAATTAATTTTGATTACACGACCAGGGTTGCCACTTGAAATGAAATTAAAGTCGAAAAATTTTAGGAAAAGAAGGAGTATAGCAGAAAAGCTTAGATTGAAAACGTAACACAAAAGTATTACAGTTCATTTTGTTCAAAATATTGTGTTGAAAAATGGTTTAAAAACAGGTTTATTTTAATTAGAAAGCGTTGATATTTAATTGATATATATATAATAAATCCAAAATTATAAACTTAAGAATATTTAATTTTAATATATATGTTCAGCTTTGCTTCTAAGATTTCTAATTTATATTTAAGTGACGTTTATGTATTTATTAAATAAGTTATTGTCTTATGAATAACTCATTTTAAGTCCTTTGACGAATATCATATTTCGTATATTATTTTTGATTAAATTTAATTGTGTAAAAACCGGTTCAGCCGCAGCAGAACCACGCGTAAGGCTTAAAATATTCAGAACAAAATCGAAGGTATAATAGCTTTAATACATACCTTTGAAACTATAGGAAATTGCAAAAAGAAAATTATGCAAAAGTGTATCGCCCTTTTAAAAAAATAAAGTAAAATAAGGAAAAGAAATTTTAACTATAAAATAAAGAAAATCAAGCGGATATGTGAAAAAAGTAGAATTTTAATTATCATTTGGAATTGGTCAAAAAGTAGCAACTCCGAAAATTAAGTAATACTTACTAAAAAATTAACTCAAAAAGGGTAGCATCTTTGCTACTAATGTAGCATTGTACCACTGCTGTACACGACGGATTTTGTATGAATGTTTGGCTGACATAGTTTAATTCCCCTTGGTAAAAAAGCATTTAACAAGGGGAATAAAACCTATGTCAACCCACGCAAAAGCAGTAAGATGTGTAAACACAAATATATATGGTTGTAATGAATATCGATTCTGGAGATATGTATGTTGGAATATGGATTATTTAAAAATAAATTTCTCGGTCAACGCGCTCAAATGTTAAGCAATATGTGTTCAAATTTATCAATATATTTCAGCAAAATTTTCTAAAAATTTCTTTAATTTTGTACCTCTAGCAAACATCCAATCTCTATAAAAATTTTCTGCATCGAAAAAATTTTAAATTTTACATGAATTTTTTTTTGGAGAAAAAATACTTAGTTTTTTGGAGAAAAAATACTTAGTATAACAAGAATCATAACGCCAAAACCAAAAATTTCGTTTTAAATCTAAGAATAAGAATTAATTATAGGAATCGAAATATGCATACGTATACGAAAAATATAGATGACTTTTTTTATTTAAATTTTGTTAACAAAATTTGTGGGAGGATCAATTTTATTGAAAAGGATGGAAAATTTTACGAATGAATTTCATTTTCCAAAATACATGTAGATAAAAATGTTGAGAAAAAAATTGAATTAAAAAATTTTTTATTTCTTAGATGTGGTTTCATGCATCTGCATTTCTAGGGCTATGAGGATGCGCCCAACAGCGGCAAAGGAGGGGCTTTTGGGACAAACTTCACCGCATCTCGTCGTCGAGATTGCGGCGAAAGGACGAAATGGTTAGAAGATACGGTTGAGTTACACGCCATTGTATGGTAAACTGATAGATCAAAGACCAATAAGGGGGCAGATACAGGAGAATGGCTGGGCAAAGAACCAAATTCTTCGAACCCAAGGAAACGTATCCCAGCGCTTTCAGGCGAAGATGAACCTTTAAAGAGGATACCGGCGACAAGAATCTTAATCATGTGTGACAGTCAGGCTGCCATCAGAGCGATGAAATCATTTATCTTCCTTTGCACTATTGGGCTGCCTTAAAAAACTCAACAAATTGTGTAGATGCAACTGAGCCACACTGCACTGGATGCTTTGACATGTGGGCGTGGAAGGAAAAGAGGCGGCTAGTGCGCTGGCGAGGAAAGAGAGCAACACGCCTTTTCTTGACCCGGAACCCTTCTGTGGAGTCCTTTCAAAAACAAAAAGAAATGTTTAAAAATAGGTCTGTCTGGGATAAAACTTGCAAAAACTTTTAAAAGAGAAGCAATGATGAAATTTCTCTCAAAAAGAAATACTTTTTGGTTATAACAAAAACCCAAATTTTTATTTTGGATTATAAAAGTGTGAAACTTAGAAAATCTATTTTGGTTATTTTATTTTTAATTGAAAAGTTTTGAAAAAAAAATATTGTTGATGAAGTTTTTTTTTTTCAAAAATAAAACCTTCTGACATAACCAAAAAAAACATATGTTTCAGCAGCTGTAAGATTTGAAAAGTTTTTAAAGCACTAAATTTTACTTTACAAAATTTGAAAAAACTTTAAACGTTGAGAAAATGAGAATGTCATCAATTTCTCTAATTTTTGTTCAAAAACTATTATCCCACGCAGTTTGCGTGCAAAAACTTAATATAGTTTTTAAGAACTTTCTTATACCAGACAGACAGACCTAATATTAACTATTTGCTATGGAAAGCAACGTTCAGGGTTGCCAGAAAAGCTCTTATTAAAAACGAGCTTATGCTGATAATTAATATTTTCTCAAATTCGAATTTCAAAATGGAATGTATACAAGATTTGCAAAATCTGAAAATTTTTTTCGAGCACGTAGAACGTAATCTAAAGGTGCGCTTCTATCAGTGTCTGTTGTTCGGACGTTCGGAATTTTATCCATTCAAAATAATTTAATTTACTAACACATATGCAAAACTGAAATGGCTTGATACTTCGTTAATTCACTTTTTTGAGTTGCAAAAAATTCAAACTGTTGAGTGTTGACTGAAGGCTGAAACCAATACACACACGTGCATTTTAATTTTACATAGTATCTATCCGTGTTTTTTTTTTTTTTTTCAATTTTTCTTTGTTATGTTTGTACTTACTGCATACTATGTTAGATTACGTTTCTATTTATTTACAGATATCAAATATCAGTCTTTCAGTACATAAAGGTAAATCGAAAATTTTTCTTGTTTATAATTGTAAATAGGTTAATAGTGTAAAAATTATTTTATTCTAACTTTCAGGCAATGAGGAAGCGAAGCTAAAGTGTTCTCTGATTGCAAAAACGAAACAAACTTTTAGCTCCGAATGCTTTATGCTTTCGTTAAAAACGAACACGAATTTGACAGTTCTAGTTCTTCTGTGATTTAAAAAGCAAACCACATAAGGCTCGATCTGCAATCAAACCTATTAAAACTTAAAAGGTAGTATAATCGATTTTGTCATATCTATTTTGATACCAATTCACTTCTCTGAATTGGCTTTTACCATCATTTGTAGATTTTTGACCATTCATAAAAATAGAAAACCAAGTTGTTCAAATTTTTAAATTTATTGTAATAAATTTGTTTAAATTTAAATATGTTTCGACAAGTAGAATAAATTCTGAATTCGGTAAACTCATAAAAGTTATATTACACATTATAAAACAAAAAATAATATACAAAACAAGAACACAACATAAAAATACTTAAATGCATAACAACACAACAAAAAATATTTGAAAACATAGCACAATATAAAATTATGTAAAAAAATTTGATATTAACAAAATCTTGAGTAACTTAATAAAATCGATTTTTTTCATTTTAGTTTTTTTTTACTGCTGGCATTTGATTTATTCAAATTATTTTAGTTTTATTTCTGATCTTAATTTTATTTTTGATGATTTGTTGTTCATTTTGGTTTGGGAAATTTTTTTTTTAGATTTTTTGTTTACTGCGGTATTAGAAAAATTTAGTTTGCGAATTTGAAGTTGGCATTCCTACGTTCAGCAATTCGTAGGTACCATGAATAGCCACAATGCTTAATAATGAATAAGTAAGTTCGACCCTGTGTCAGGGAATGAACGCTATATCAGCAACAACAATTCTAATCGATTCTATTCGTTGTATATATCAAAGTATATATACTAATAAGTAATTCGACTCGTTCCATTCCGTTAGTTTTCATTTGCATCTTGCTTCCAAATTCTTAAAATATTCCATTTTTTTTAGAAATAGATGGTAATAAGAGTTGTGTAGGCAAGAAAGGAACAAAATATTGTAAACAAACGAGTGTATCAAAAACATTGAACTAAAATAAAATTAAATTAAGTTAGGTAAAAATTTTGTTTTTTTTATTTTGATAACAACAAAATTTATTTTTCATTTGATAAAATTTAGGTAAAAAATTCGAATGTATGAAAGCAAAAGAGTTTGAAATTTCATGTATGAATTTACACATGCATGTACCTGGTACAGTAGATACACAGTATCAGGTAGAGACATAGAAGTAAAGTAATTTATAAAGAAAAAAAGGTGTATGCATACTGATTACTTTATGAAATATAGTTATTACCGATTCATTTAAAAAAACAAAGCTCTCTACATCTCTTGGCAACAAATGAAATTTTCGTGTCGGCTTTTTTGCCTCACACACAATATTACATCCCAAACACTTCAAATAATGTTTAATATTATAAAAAAAATTTTTTTTCACAGCTACTTAAAATTTTTTTTAATATTATACGTCTTTTTAAAATTTATTTTTATTATTTTTCATATAAATTATAATAATTTTTTTAAACACTTTTTTTCCGCTTCTCTTTTATAATATGAATACACATTTTTTACCACCTTGTACTGGAATGAATTACAGAAAATATTGTGTCGCTTTTAAAATTTTAATATTTTTTCCTATACTTTATATACGAGCAAATAATAAAGTGTCGCCTTTCAAAATAGATTATAAAAAAACAGGTTGACATCTATTGCGTACTCTTTCCCTCTCCCAAAAATTCTTATGTGTATAAAAATGAAAATAACAAGGTATACTGCTTAACTCTTTTAACTAAGGGAATTTTTTGTATAAAAATATTGGTGAGTAATTGCATTAGTGTGATGTAAACGGAGAGTCGAACTGCTTGTTAGTAGATATACTTTGGTATATATAGTGTGACTAGGAAATTTGGTTGTTAATCATTCATTTTATAAAAGAAAACTTTAAAATTTTAAGAATATTGAAAAAGAACTAATGTTAATAAATTTGAACAACATTTGTTTCGAAAACTAATTTCAAATAGGTATTTATTAAAATTTTGCAGAGTACACAAAAATTATAAAAAAATTTGAAAGCCAAAAACTTTTCAAGTAACCTTATACTCATAAAGTCAAGTATTATTTGTTATTTTATTTTTGATTCGTTTGTCAAACTTATTTTCACAGTTGCAATGTTTACTATATTATTTATTATTATTTGTGTGTTTTTTCTACTTGTTTTCCTATTTGTCATATTTTATTTCTATGTGCTTAGATTTATGATTCATCAGCCTTAGGAAATTGATATAAAAAAAGTTTTTGTAAATTCTAAGACTTAATCAGATTATACATCCATACATAGAAATAATGTATTGATTTTTTTAATGAATGTATTGGCAGTATGTACTATAAAAAAATCAAATGTATAACTTTAAATATTTAAAAAGGTTTATTAAAAATAAATGTTTTAAAAAACTAAAAAAAATCTGAGAAATAATTATTGTAATATTCAGAAGAACGTTCCATATAATTTAAACAAAATACAGTTAAAAAAACATTTATTGCTTTTTAATTTTCATTGACTTGATTTTTATTGATGATTGAAGTTTAAGATTATTGTGATTTTAGGGTAAGCCCAGGGTATCAGTATATGCTTAATAATTAAATATCATGATTAAATAAGTTAGCATTTTTCAGAGACCCTTCAATTTATTCTTCAAAAACATTTCATTATAAAAATTATATTGGTGCTTAAAAATGCAATTTTTGTTGAATTTTGCGAAAGCTGTAAATTCAAATTGTGTTTTTAGAAGTATTTAATAAATTTCGTAAACAAAAACCTATGTCTTTATTAAATTCATTTAGAGCTGTGTAATGTTTTACACTCTTACTGAAAATTGTGGATTAAAAAATTTAATTGACGAAATAAAGTTAAACTTTTTTATTATATTCCAGAAAAAAATCGAAAGGAAAAGGTAATTCAAATGTCACAAAAAGTAGTTTGCTTGTGTAAACGCAATGCATATTTAACATTTTTGTAGACGAATATTGTATTCAAAAATGAGTTGTGTTTCCTCTCTGGCCAATTTAGTGTGAACCATTTGAATGTTTACTCTATAATCGATTCTATTCTTGTTATTTCGATGATAAATTACTTCCCTGAATCTGTTTTCTGGCCATTTATCCGGTGAAAGAGTGTAGAAAGTTTCTTGAAATTTTAAAATGACTTGTGGTAAAACAAATTTTTGAAAAAAATTTTTATAATTAATAAATTTAAGAAAAATTTATTTAAAAAACTAATTTTGATTGTGTGTTTATCAAAATAATATAAAGTACAGCTAAAAAATTAAGAAATTGACAATTAGAAAAATTTTAGGTGGCTTCGTAATAAAATCGATTTTTCTTTTATTTTTTTTTTGTTTTTTTTTTTTTTTTATTTTTTTTTTTTTTTTTGAGGTACAGTGCTTAAAAAACTAAAAAAATTCAAGAAAAAAAAAAAAAATTAAAAGCCGTGTGTCGGTATTGACTTTTATAGCTGAAAAGTTAAAGTAATTATTCAAAATTTATTTCTCTCAACAATTTGGATATTACTACCGAGGATATACAAATTATTTTCGGTTTTTGTGACATCAAGATAAAAAAAATTCACAAATGGTTCGTAATAGTATGGGACCTGGCCCTATATATTATAAAAAAAGTGAAGTAAGATATTCGCCAATGGTGGCAAATAATCCTAACGCAATGGTTCAAACTCAACCAATGGATGCTGGACATTCAAGTCATATGGTATATCATCAGGATCCAAATTATCAAGGAGGAGATCCCTATGCAAATAATTATTCAAACCAACATCCAGAAGAATACGCCATTTTTGTATTTAATTTATCTTTAGAAGTAGTTGAAAATGATTTATGGAAAATGTTTGGGCCATTTGGTGCTGTAAGAAATGTAGCTGTCGTAAAAGATCCTAATACAAATTTATGTAAAGGATATGGTTTTGTTACAATGAGAAATATGCAAGAAGCTGAACTAGCGATTGACATTTTAAATGGTCATCATTTAAAGGGAAGGTCAATTAAAGTCAGCTTCAAAGGACCGAGAACAAGGTAAATAAATATAGTCCAGTTGCAGAAGTTTTTTTTTATATTAGTATTTTAATATATTTCTAATTTATAGTGGTAAAATTAAAATATTACGTATTCAGTTACCAAGTTAATAAATTTTAACCATGTTTAAGAAAATAGGTACAAGAAAGCATTAAAAAAAAAAAATTCAAGCATTTTGTGTATATATCAAGTACCTATATACCTACCTACCTAGGTATACCTATATTTTTTTCTACCGTCTTTACAGTTGATTTTTTTTTTTTTTGTAATAAATTTTTGTTTCCAAAATTCATTTAGCTAGGAAAAGAGAACATGTTGAGGTATAAAAATTTATATCATATTATCTCTTGTTAATCGCCTTGCAATAAAACATAAAGAAATAGAAAAATTTAAATTAAAAGCTTACATTAGTTACACATTATTAGTGGCTAATAGTAATATTTTATACATGCATATGTAATATTTTCAATACTAAAAGGACTAAATTTATTATAAAATATGTGTTGGATCTAAGTAACCTGCCCTAAGTAAGGCACCTACTTATTGGGATAGAACGATTTTAAGAATTCTATTGCGAATTACATAATATGTAGCCTTCTTATTGTTAGCAAGTACCTGCCCACCAATTTAGAATATATTATACTTGCATTATTCAAAAATTATTTTAAATCTATAATGATATTTATTGTAAATTAAAAGTTCCTATATATAAGTACCTACCTATTTCTTTAATGTAAGAGAACGCACTTGTATTTTGGCAAATACTTGAGTTTGGAAATTTTTCCAATCAATAAAGTGGTTATACTTAATTTAAATAGGAAAATTTCATTAATAAAATTAATTTAAATTTTAATGTCCTTTTAGAACTGAAAATGAAAACGGAGAAAGTTTTTTTTTGTTTTAAAAGGGGTTAGAACTTGGTAGACTTTATGTTAGGTGCATAATTTATATAAAATATTTAATAAATTTATAAATATAATTTATTATCTTTTATATGTGTTAAAAAATATAAAAAATTCGTAAAGTGATAACGGTATAACAGTATTACGTCAGTATATATGTAACATTCATTTAATAGTTGTAAAACTTACAGAAAAGAAATATATTCATTATTGTTTTCGTATAATATTACTTGTATGTGATTACATTGAAAGGTAAGAGCATTTTTGATATATATTTTCTATATTTGTCAAATAGATTTTAATGGTTTAATAAAAATTTCTTAATATAAATTAATATAATTTTAAAAATTTAAAATTATAATTTTTTTTTTTTGCTTTTGAGATCATCATTATTTATTGAGATTTGTTAAAATATCAAACATACGCATTGGATGAATTTATCGACTCCATGTAAGTTGTAGTCCGTTTTGTTTTTTCAAATTAATTTTATTTTATATTGAAAATTTGTTATTTATACATTCAAGAAATTCTGTTGTTTAATTATATTTTTTATAAAAGTTTTTGTTAAAATATTGTTAAACCATTGAAATCTAATACTTGTATTTTATATAAAAAATAATTTATTGATTTTCTTCATAGCTGTATAATTGAAAACGATTTTCATAAGACAATTTTGCAGTTTGAATATAATTTCACTTGAAAGTTTTTTATTTGGCAAAAAATGTGGTAAAAGTTACCTAATAATTTCAACAACTTATAAGATTTTTTATCTTAAAAAGTCAAATACCATTGTGATGAACATATTTAAGGGTTTTTTTTGCTACTAGAAACATTTATTATAAATTTTCGGCTTAGGAGAAATTGCGACTCGTCATCCGTATAAAAATTAAACCTAAATTAAGTAATAATTTTATTGAAAGCGTCTATTTGAAATTGTGTTATTTTTAATGTTAACATATTGATTGCATAACAAATTTAATTCTTTAATTCTATTTAAAAAAAAAATTAATCTATATTCGTAAAAAACCAAATTTTTTGCCAATTAAAATTAGATTATCTTACAAGAACAAGAATTGAAAGGCTCATCATCGAAATTGATTTTTTTCAGGTAAAAAAAAACATAAAAATTTCTATCTATGGTTGTAAATATCCTATATTTGTGTAAATTGTTCTATATTATCATAAAATAACAGTATGAAATGGTATACGGTGTGGTTATATAAAGTTCTTTTTTCTAAATTGTGTTCAAATTCTTTTTAATATAATTAAAAATGATAAGGTAAATGTAGGTCTTAAAACATAAAAGTATCAAAATACGCAGCTTCTATTATTTTTCGAATATTAACGTGATATTTACTTTAAAGAGCAGTTTAAATTCGCTAGCTGTAATTTTTGTCTAGTCTAGGAACAACATAATCTAGGCACATTTTTAAAAAAAATTATGTTTTATGATCTGATTAGATGAGTTTAATTCTGTTTTATATAGTTGAAGTGAGCTAAAAATTTAAAAGAAACCTTTTCTCATTTTAAATGTATTTTAAAACTATTTAATTTAACACGTTTTTTTTTCGATGACATTTTTGGGAGGCACAATGTGAATGAACATGAAAATTTTCATTTTATAAAAGAAAATCACACATTTATTGTTTTTCCAAATTTAATTTGTCATAGAGAAAAAATTTTTTTTTGCCATTTTTATTTCCAAATTTAATTTGATAAATAAATAAATTTAATAATTGCAAGGTAAATATTTGTGAAATATCTCAGAAAATGTTATTGACAGAGAATTAATGTTAATATCGAGACAAGGTTCAGAAAAAACTTCGCTTGTATTATTCGCTTGTCCAATATTAACCAATGCCAAAAACAATTTATTTTATTTTGCAGTCAATTATCATTTTATAAAAATATTGTGATAATATTTTTAAAGCTAATAGCAAAAAATTTTATGTGAACAAAGAGGGAAATTAGGTTATATAAATGAAATAGCTACTAGTATTGATTAAATTAATGGGGACAAATTTGAACATTTTCCGAACCTTTCCGTAATTACCATTCAAAATCGTTAGAAATTATATTCTGTGATAAAGTCAGTACAATTTTATTTATTTATTTATTTTTTTTCTATGGAATAAAGTTAAGAAGGTGTGTTTAGATAATTAATATGGTTTAGGTTTTTAAATTTCGTTATTTTTTCATTATTTTTGCTAAAATTTATTAAAATAATTTACTCATGTATTTTTTTTTCAAATTTTTTTAAAATTTAAAATTTTTATTCGTTTTTTCAGAAAAATAGTACAAGGATGTCTTTTAACTGGAGTAAAAATATTGAACTCGGCAATAAGTTAAAGTTCAAGTTGAGAACTATTTATCAACAGAGATGAAAGCATTCATGGTTTAAAAACTTAAAGAATATAGAGAAAGTCATATACCATTATCGAACTTGACTATTTAAATATCAATTTTTTATAAGTTTATATTCAATTTTTTATACAAAATAAAAAAAAAGAAATAAATATTCTACTGCATTTGTTTAATAGTGTTTTTATTGTAAGTTCTTAATATGAAAATGCAAAAAAGGCGGAATCCTACAAATTTAATTTTACATTAGCAATTCCCCATAATTAGACAAGTTTTAATTTACAAAAACGTGAAATTATTTATATGTACTTAAAAACAAAAAAACATTTACATCTGAATCTTATATGGATATTCACTTATGGTGTCCTATTAAAATATGTATATGTACTGAAAAATGTTTTTTTTTTTGATTGTGTAAAATTATAAAGTTTTTGTAAAATTTCGCCTTTTATTTCATAAAAACAATAATTGAAAAAAAGTTCTTTTGACTCCGATTGTTTAAGTTTTATATGCATGGTACTATCAGAAGATTTTATTTTGTTTTTTATTTTTATTGTATAATTGTAGAACATATGAAGAGGAATCTGTTGGAGAACCGGGTGCATATCCAATTTATGTTTATAATTTGCCACTGAAGACATGTGAAGATAATTTGTGGAAATTATTTGGCCAATTTGGTGCTGTCAAAAATGTTTCAATAATGCAAGATCATGTTAAAAACATGCCAAAAGGATATGCATTTGTGACAATGAAAAATTTAAATGAAGCACAGAATGCTATTAAAGCCATCAATGGTTTTACAATGGATGGAAGGGTCTTAACCGTCAGTTTTAAAGGGAGAAGGTAAATTTTGATTTGATACAAAGCGGGAATCTTAATTTCCAACACGCTTTATTAAAAATCTACCATCATATATTATATTTTATTTGTAGAAAAAGTAAAGTTACAGGAATTTAATTTTATTTTGAGAAAAAAGTACTTAAACTATCATAAAATATTTGACTTGATAAATATTATAAATATTAATCTATAAAATATGGAAATTGTAAACTTCAAAGTAATATGATATTTTTTTTAAATTGCATCTTTCAAATAAAAATAATGTTTTGTGGTACATATTTTTTTCTTTTAAAATTATATAAAAATTGTTATAAATTCCTATAAATTTTTAATTTTTTAATTATTTAATTTAACTGGGTAAAACTCATATTTCTATTTATTAGAGATATTAAATTAAAATTTATAAAATAAAAAATTAATTATAAATCTAATAATTTATTTTATTTATAAACGAAATCATTTCTAGCTTGAATAACATTGAGGTTGTGTACGAAATGTGACTTTATGACTTTAAAATAATAAAATAATTAAAGTTAATTTTATTCTTTATATCAAATATATGCTTGCAAAAGAATCTATTGGCAAAAATCAAATCTGAGGAGAATATATTTTATATTGTGAAAAAGCCACATATCATATACTGCCTTAATAAAACAGGTCAAATCGTTTCACAAATGCAATTTAAAATGCAGAAAGTAAAATGAGATGGGGTAAGGGATTTATACGTGTATATTGCTAATTTAATAATGGTATAAATAATTGTAATTGCAATATTTTCAGTCTCAGACTATGCAGTAATTGCATTGTGAGCGCACCAAGACACTAAAAATTTTAATTTATTTTTAATTTTCTAAAATGCAAAAAATATTCAAAACTGTTGAATGTCAATTTTTAAATTTTAACGCAATTCATTTACATGCTTTTTTTTAATTATTATAATGATAAAAAGAAATTATTTTTTTTTAAAGATAATGACGCAAAAATTTTAAAGTACTTATCAGATATTATCTAGAGATTTCTAGCATTTTAAATGTCATTGAATTTTGACCAAAAACAGGGTTGACAATACGAATAGAGTTCATTTTGTCTTTTAAAGCCCGACCTGATATGTAAAAAGATTTAAAACAGAATCAAACTCGAAATCATAAAATTGAAGTCTTCATAAAGAAGTTTTTAATTTTATTTACAAAAATTTGCTGTAAGTTATAAAATTAAAAATAAAATTTTAATTACAATTTCATATTAAAAAAAATTTTTTAGTTTCAACTTTTGTGTTTAAAAAATGCTGATTGAAATTTTAATTTTATTTGATAGTTACAACAACATTTGTTTTAAAAATATGTATAATTGTTTGTAAAGCAATCAGTGAGAAAAACTATAAAAAAAAGAAGAAAAAGAAAGAAAATAAGCAATAATAATGCATTTGTGAAATGGATCTGGTAGGCATAAATATAATTTAATTACTGGCCAATGATTCAATTTATTAATATATATTTTTTTTTATTTTCAATTTTATCTAATCTATTTAACATTTTTTTTTCCGGACATTCTCCTGTAATTAGACCCGAAGAACCAGAAAATGCTAATCCTTATAAAGCTGGACAGGGAGAAGCCTATTATGCTGATCGTAGTAGTACAATACCAATATATGTGAATAATTTACCATCAGACGTTGAAGAACAAACAATATGGAAGTTATTCGCTCAATTTGGTGCAGTTAAAGATGTTAATTTGGTTAAAGATTTAGCAACTATGAAATGTAAGGGTTATGGTTTTGTTATGATGAAAGATATGGAAGAAGCAACTGTTGCTATAAATACGTTGAACGGCTTCACAATTGGCAACAAAATTATACAAGTTAATTGGAAAACTAAAAAAAATAAGCAACAAAATCAACAACAATCACAGCAACCGTCACAAAACCAGTAAAAAGGAAAATTAATAAATTTAAAAAAGAAAATTAAAATTAAAAAAAATATTAAAAAAAATTAATAAAAAAATTTTTACATATAATTTTTAAATAATACACACATACATATAAAACAATTTGAAAAATATATATAAAATATCGTATACATGTGGAAGTTTTTATTTTTTTTTATTTGATTTTGCCTATGGTATCTATTAGATTTGTTCATCAATTTCTTTTTATATACATACATACAAAATATATTTAAAAGAGACTTTTTACTTTGAGTATTTAGATATAATATATATAACTGCATAAATACATACATACATACATTAAATATGAGTATATATATATAATATAAATCCATATAAACTATATGCATATTATATTTAAAAAACAACTATTATTTTTAATAATTAAATTATAATTAAGAAATGTTTGCATTGTATTGTATCGAATTATAATAATATATTTACATGAAAAACAAAAAAAAAGCAATTATTTGTGGAAAATTATTTTTATTAAATTTTTTTTAAGCTTTAGAATCTATTGCCGAAAAATTAAAATCTCATTTTCGAATGCATTTATGTTTGCAGTAAGAAAAAATAATAAAAATGCGATTATGGTTATTAAAATAGCATTTTCAATTCTTAAATTCGGTTTTCTACGTTTTTACGCTTCATTTTCGTTTATAAGTTTTTATTTTCTGAAAAAAATTTTCCCCATCTGAAAGAAAGAAAAGGGAAATAAAGCATTTTATTTAAAAAAATTTGACTTTTATTTGTAACACAATAGACCAGTGCATTTTAATAGACATTAGTAAATATTAATTCTGAATCACATATTATGTGATTCAGAATCACTTTACGTATAATATTAGAATTATAACTACAAATTTCTTTTAGGAAAATTTTCAGCGCTAAATTAACACTAATTATTGAGTTGAGCAATTGAAAGTATATATGTAATTGAAAATATATTGATATCCTACTTCAAAATATTTTCATAACTGGGAAAAATCGTCTTCTGTTAAGTATTACAACAATCTATATTAAATACAATAAGTTATGCTAAAGTCCTTCCGAACTTAATTTCGAGTTCTGAATATTTTCATTTTGAGTACCTGTTACTTTCGTTCTGAATACCACTTTTGAATTTGAGCTTTAGCATATACTTTTAGGAATTTTATTGAAATTTTCCTTTTTTTGTGGACTTCAGCATAACGCTCTTAATTGAGGTCAAGTTATTTAGGATTCATTTAAAAAAATCTGTAACTGGTTATCGTCATTAATAGCACGGTGAAAAATTCCGGGTTTGTAGTTCCTGAAACTTTATATGTACATATAGGGTAATTTTATAATAAGAAAATTAAGGAACTATTTTAAAATTTTCTCTAAATCCTTTGTTTCCGTGATTATAGTTAAAGTTTATTAAATAGACCATGGTGTATACCATTCTAGAGGAAAAAAGGGTATGTAACAAAATAATAATTATGTTATAATATAATATATAAATAATTTTTATGTTTTTAATTTTAAAAATGTATTAGATTCAGGTAAGAAGCTATTCGTATCTTTATTATTTAAAAATCTCTTAGAAAAATGATGGACTTTTAGTATGTATGTATAAATCAAAAATTTAAAGCGCACTTAAAGATTTTATTTGGAGATTTTCGATAATTCGATAAGATTTTCGATAATTCAGTTCTAACTCAGGTCTTAATATACAGCCCGTCTGATAAATCCAAATCTGTAAAAGCTGCAACAATATTCGTGGTTGACAGTTGTGCTTAAAGTTCTAGAAGTTTTTTTTATGACTTGAAAAAGTATTATAAATTGGAAGAAGAGCTTAAGAGAAAAAAGTGTGTCACATATTTAGAAGATTTTATTTGGAGATTTTCGATAATTCGATAAGATTTTCGATAATTCAGTTCTAACTCAGGTCTTAATATACAGCCCGTATGATAAATCCAAATCTGTAAAAGCTGCAACAATATTCGTGGTTGACAGTTGTGCTTAAAGTTCTAGAAGTTTTTTTTATGACTTTTGAAAAAGTATTATAAATTGGAAGAAGAGCTTAAGAGAAAAAAGTGTGTCACATATTTACAAAATTAAAATATTCAGTTTCTGTAAATTTGTAAGCATCTGTTAATTTTTAATATTTAATTTAATGCTTTCAGTGCATGTCTGAATTATCTATAATATTGTATGTATTTTATTTACATATGGAAATTTTGGGTAAAATATTACCCTTTCATAAGGCCGTTTAACGGTTTCCTCTTAACGTTTTTTTTTTTAATTTAACGTATATTTTAATATTTGAAGAAAATTTAAATATATAGTACAATAACAATGTAAGTATTAAGCTCGCTATGTATTCAAAATCAAAAAGCTCACTGTGTATTTTTCTTTTTAAATTCTCTTAAACAAAAATTTTCAAAAAAATTCTCTCAATTTCAATTGTTAACAAAAGGATTCTCTTAAAAGTTTTTAGATTTCGTTGAAGGAAAATCTTATACTATGAAAATTTTTTCAGCCGAGTCTCGTTTGTTTTTTTTTTATTGCACTTATTTTTACTAACCTTATTTCATTTTACATACTTTTTCGCTTTTTCTTTGGTTTTAACTCTGTATAACAATAATATTTAATATTATCTCATCATCGTCGGGTAGTTTTTTTTTATATCTACTTCCGGTATACTAAGAAATAAAAATTAAAAGTTTTCTACATAAATGTTATACACAAATTTTTAGTTGAGTTTTTTTTTGTATTGTTGTTTTATTCGCATTTTTAGGGTGAGTGTTATGGGTTGTATTTTTTACGTTTTCTTTTATTAATGTTGCGAAAATATTGAATAACTGAAGGAAAATTTTTTTTTGCATACTATCTAAATTTTAGTTGCTTCATGAATTTCGTCGGATTCATATAGTAGGTCTCTATATACAATTTTGTGAAAATTTATCAGAAATTACAGAAGAAGAAAAAAATAAAAAAAAAAAAAATAAAAAAATTTCAAGACGGATTATTTAATTTGAAATTTTGATAAATTTTGAAAGTATGCACGGGCAAACGTTAAAAAACTTATTGTTTTTTTAACTCTTCTTGGTTAATAAAATATTTGTGAAGTTTGGGAATTTTTGAATAAAATATTTAGGTAACTAGTCTACATAACTATAATAGAGTAATATTAAATAAAAGAAATTGAAAATAAAATAAAATAATTTAATAAATTTAAATATATTGTAATAAAATAATAATAACAATTTATTTTAATAAATTTAAAACTTTTTTGTTATACAATTTTATATTATTAAAACAGTTTGTGTATACCAGTTTAAATCTGAAATTATTAAAAATACATTTCATATATACATTATTAACGGTTTACCATATTATTAGTATATATATTTTTTATTAATAATGTGTGAATGATATTTAAAAAATTTTTTAGTGTTTATTTAATTAATATTATTCATTAATTGAATATATCATCCTTATATAAATATATGTACGATATATACATGTTATAATTTTGAATATTAAAAAAAAAAAAAGGATTTTTACACGCAAACTTAATTTTATTTCTTTTTTTTTTTATGTTTGTTTTTCAAGGTTATTATTACATATTCAAATTTATACATAATATATGTGATTACTGATTATATACGCACATAAATAAGAATAATTATTCATATATAGTTATAGAAATTTATGTGGAAAATAATTAAAAAGAGAAAAGAAACAACAAAAAGTATAGTTACCGTTGTATGTGTTAATTAAGTAATTATGAAGGTCATTTAAAAAAAAAATAAAGCAAAATATAAGTATGTAGGTATATGTATAACAAAAAATGCAGTGTAACATAAATATAGACATTAAAACAAAAAAATTTACAACTAAAATGAAATTAATTTAATTAAAAAATTAAAAAGAGGGGTGGTTGCAAAATGATTTCGAAAACAGTTTATTTTTTTCAGGTTTATCATTTTTTATTGAAAAAGTCAAGTGAATTTCAATTAATAATGAATGTTATTGTTATGTGCCGAATTCCTTTTGGTTATAATTCTTTACAAATTCTAGATTAATATATTTTTTTAGCATTTAATATTATTATTTTAAATATAAAATGTACTTATAGTTTAAGACTAATCAAAAATTCATAAAACAGAATTTCATAAATTTCATAGTTAACATTAAAAGTTTTTCTATAAAAGTTACATTTAATAAAAAAAGTTTTATTAAATATAAAAAAAAATTGAATTTTTTAAAATTTTTATTATTAAATTTTAAAATATAATTTATTTACAAAAAATGTTTGTAATTAGTTTTTAATTTTAAAATTGAACAACAATTAATTTACATAAGTACGAGTATATATGTATATATAGTTCCGTTATCTGTATAAATTCAAACCTTAAACAAAAACCATTTATAATCAGACAACTAATTCAATGTAAGTTTTTTTTAACTAAATAGAAAAAAAATACAAGATTACTATAGGATCGGGATATTTGCAAAAAAAAAAAAAGTCTAGCATTTTCCCGGGTTTCATTTAATTTTTTTAGAGCTGTTAGCGGAGTAAGTCATCAGATAAAAAATTTTAATTATTAATTGTATAAGTAAAATTTTTTATACATATGATATAGAATTTCGGTTTTGAAAATTTTTCAGCAAATTTCTTAGAATATTAAATTAAAACAAAAAAAATGAAATTGTATTTTTCATAATGAATATATTTTCAAAAACGTGTAATTAAAACAACAGCATTTAGTTAATATCTTCCTATTGAAGTCTTATAAAATTCCCTTATAAAATTCTTATTATGTGTAATATTAATGTATAACATCATACTATATTGAAATGAGGTCATGAACTGGGATATCTGACGAAATAATCTTACTTCAGAATATTAAAGATAACCAAAATGTACACCACACATTACGGTAATTTTCAATATTCTGAAAAATGGCAAGAGTAATCGATACTTCTGATTTTATTTCTATCTATATATTTCTTTTTATTCTGATCATATACTTATATTTAAGTACAGGAGTTTATAATATAAAAAACGTCTTGATGTAGCTAAATTTAATTTATTTTTATGTTTTTGTTCATTTATGTCAATTTTTTTTAAACCTTTCAGTGATAAATCGTATTTAATAAC